AAATGGTATTTCAAAATGAGAAAAGGATTACCTTGCAGGGTCAAATAAAAGCCTCTTTAGCACCAAAGAATAACTTTTACTTTCATCCATTTTAAAATAGTTCCATGACGATTTTAACACCTACTCCTTCAGCAGTGAACGAACTTAAACTTCGCCAGGCTACATTCCTCAATATAGGAATGCAGACCACGTGGAAGCCTGTGGTAAGCTTCGGGTTCACTGGCAAATCTAATAACTAAAGACGTTTGTTTTCTTTTAATTTTTATGGAGCCAGACATAGACAGGTCTGTTTTCGCGATTCAGGTACAGTAAATTCAAACTGACATTGAAGTCTATTTTGAGAAGATGACTGAACAAATTGTTGCTTTACAAGTTTTCATTGAGTGAAGAAGTGCTTCTCATCAGTTGGGTGTTGTGCTTCTTGGAGGGAGAGTTATGGGCTGACACCTCAACAGGGTGGCTGTAATGCAAGGAGGCTTCTATCTTAAAACCTAACTCCAGTGCTCCCTCAATCATTGCTGGAAAGGTTCATCCTTTATGGAGCTCACTTATTCCTTGAGATATATAGGCTGCAGTGACAGATTTCATGGCAGTGGGAGTATCATGTACCCATGTGATGTTCACATCCTCACAGAAATTAAAAACGTATGGGACAGACATGGTGGTCCTCACAGAGTATAATTCAATAAAACCTTCCTTGATGTATCACTGTTACTTTAATATTTTCTGCAGAAGGCATCACACACTGTTATCTCATAATTAAAAGATTGATAACTGAACTAAAGACAGAATTACAGAATAGCGAAATGGAACTTTTTTAAGACCAGATAAATGAAGCGACCTGTAAACTTTAAACCCCCTATGACCTCTAGTTGTGGTGAACCGGTTGAAGTTATTTATTCGCTGTGCTGCAAGATGTAATCTGAGCAAGAGACCAGAGAGAGATGACTCACAGTCACAGAACGTAGCAAAAACGCATCGGTTAGGTAATAAACTGTAGGCATTCTTCAGGAAAACTTCAGAAGTATAAGTTTGATTCAACATCTCCTGTTCTTTCTTTTTTAGTATGTGACCTTGTATAAGAGTTTGAATTGCCAGATTTCTGCAAGTACAAAGGATTTTCTCAATGGTCCATGGAGAGTCAATAAAAAAATGAATTATGTAATCTTAAAGGAAAAAAGGCTCTGTAATGTGCAATTGTGAAATCAGTTACTATTATAGTTTTATTTGGAAGCAAAATGACAGTTTCTGGCCACAATCATACATACTCTCAAAGCCTGTTAGAATTCAACAAAGCACATACTGTATCTACCCTGTGTTTACCAGACCACTATACAGTAAGAACCCAAAAACAGAAATAACAGTTCCTGGGAAGAATTTATAAGACACTACAAACAGAATCATGAATGTGTATTTTGTACTTTGACAACACCTGGCCTCCTCTTTCAGAGACCTTTTCTCAACAGAACATCAGAAAGGCCACAGAGAAGCAGAAACTATTTGAGTCTGTTGCTCTAAACTCACTTAGCCAGTTGATACTGTAATGGGAATAGCTCCACCAATGTGAAATCGCCACAAACACTGCAATGGAAAGGTACAATGGACAGAGGTCTTTATTTCTTTTGGAGATGAGAAGAAGCCAGAGTACCTGGTGAAAACCCACACAGATGCTTGGGGGAACACACAAACTCCACACAGACAAGCACTCCATACTAGAACTGAGCCCAGCACCAGGGTGCTCTAAGGCAGCAGTTCTAACCTTATGTTCTTATGACAGTCAAACTATTCCATAAAAGACATAAATCATGCCTCAGGTAATAGTAATAGTAATAGGGACTGTAAAATAAAGTACATGGTTTGGCATAATCCTTTATGCAAATAACCCAGTAAACCTATATAAATTTCAGGTTTTTGTCTAACCTGGCATGTGGTATATTACAGTTTAGGCAAATGCTTTTGTTACTCTAAGAAAAAAAATGTCTACTGATTTCAAAGTTCAAAATCACGTTCAATTAAATATATACTGTATATGCAGAATACCCTCACAACCCTGAAAACTCTGGAAGATACACTTTTTTCAGAAACCTTTTCTTGCTACTAGGCTTTTGAAGAGCTGATAGCATTTTAGCCACAATGTTAGGATTGAATCATGTCTTCTGGTGCAGCAGCTGCAGTATTTCAGCAAAGGATGGAGAGAGTTTCAACAGTCAGATTGCAGTCAACCTCTTACAGTGAATTTTCCCCTCAATTTAATAAGACTTCCTGGCATATAACATCATGACAGCGTTTGAAGTAAAGAGGCATTATTTGACAAAATGAGTTTCCTATAACCCCAGGAAATGCATCTGACATTCTATGAACATTTGCAAAAACTTAATATTTTCTCATGAACGAAAGGAAAAAAAATGTCTTTGGAAAGCGCCAGTTCTTCTTTCTTTGTTCTTCCATTTTGGCCATTTTTGATTTGACAAAAACAAATGCGTGCGATACATCAGCACAGTTTTTAGCTGACTCACTGTTCATCTCCGTTTCATTCTCTGGATACTAACTAATGTCTCTTGCTTCTGGGTGTACTACTGTGAGGAATAAAACAATATCAGCTAATGGTCCCAACACTATCTTAATACAAAACAAAACATTCAATAAAAGCTGAATAAACATTAGGGGTAATGTATGTTATCTGCATATTCCCATTATTGTCTTCTAGAATAATCTACAATCTATAATGTATGTAGTTACTTAACCTATTCTTGTTCATCACTTTTTTTACATTTACATTGTCCAATGGTCTTCCTCAAAAGTTACCTTAAGCCCCAGAGCTCTTCATAACATTGCATTATTTCAAAGAGTTTATCTTCCAGGAGAGGGCTTTACTCACATTTTGGCTTTTTTTACCCCAACATTTTTAAGAACCACTTCTGAATTACCAGCCTTTAAAACTCAAGAAGAGCCGTGGTGTGTTCTGCCATTGAATTAATACATGTATTTTAGTACATGGTATTCACATGTAAATCGAAATGTGTTAATTTAATGGCAGTGTGAAACATGTAGTGTGAATTGCATTTAATAGTTAGTATGTTCTGTAGAACTACTGTACCACAGTAAAAGCTATCTCCTTTTCATCCTACCCTTAACCTACTAACTTTAGAACGTAAAAGCCAGAGGCATTAACATGCTACTCACATGCTGTATTCTAGGACCCTAGACATCCAGGACACCAGTGTTAAGATAGGAGTTCTCAGTCCTGGCCCTAGGCTCCATTCTGTGGTTTTAACTCCAACCAAGTTGTTAATCATGGGTTAATTGATTTCGGTTTTCTATCCGAGACCAAGTTTTAAATTTACTTTCAAGTGTCCGATACATTGTCTGTCCCACCTGTGTCTGTTCATCATAAATTGCCTATTAAGAGTCAGAATTAAGGGAGCAAATTCTTAATTAGCAACCTCAGCAAAGGCTGCAATAAATTATTTATGCTGAAGCTGTTGGAAATAACGTATTTCAGATAGATCAGTTTTGAACCCAGGGCCTGAGTGAAGAAAATCTCTCAACAAGCAAACTGATCAGATTAGATGTGATTAGATTCCCAGCTGGAATGACAAAGCAGCCCCAGGTTCTCACTGTTGAGAACCTCTGTTTCCAGTTGTGGTCCTGGAGGGTCACACACAAGCTGAGCACAGAACTGAACCCCTCACTGACTTCGTCATGTGAATAATTTAAACACTTCGACAGTCTTCAGCTTTGAAACTCATTGGACTTTGCCTTTTCACTAAAACTTGTGATTTGTAAGTAAGATGAACTACTCGTTTTGGGGTAGAAAAAAGACCCTGAAACTATTCTCATTCAGCAGTTCATTAGTTCAACTGAGGCTTCTGCTCAGTAAGGTACTCATGGGGAATGACAACCAGCAGGTATGTGGCCTTCAGAACCAGGATAGGGAGCCACTGTTCCAAGCAACAACACAGAGCCTTTAAAGGCTTCATTTTTTATACTAATATAGTAATTGTATATATTATAATAATATATAATAAATCATATTTGTTTTCATACATATCACTATTGATTTTTGGTCACAGCAGTTGTTGTTTTAAACATACCTTTTGATTTACATACAGTTACATTGGCTTCGGGTGTCTTTATAAGTTATTCTTGAGTCCAAATGTTCAGTTCCATGCATGACTTGAAAGCTAGTCAGGACCTCAGGAAGCCAGAGCCTGTCCCAGAATCTCAAGGCACCAGGCAGGACTGAGCATGCATGGACAGGACTGTCCGACTGGACAGGACACCTTGAGAGGTGGGAGGTGACTGGCGCACCCAGAGAAGACCTGTGCCAGCGCATGCAAACTCCACACGGGCCGATTCCTGTAGCAGGAGTCGAATCCCAGACCCTGGCACTGTAGGGCGGCAACAACACAAGCATCAGTTATAAACAACAATAGAAATCATTATAATCATTAAAAACCTTTTAAAAGACAAATAAATATATTGTTAAATGGGTGTAATTTTCCATTCAAAGATGCTATGCTTAAAATAGTATAATGCACAATTAAGACCTCTTTCAGAAAATCATGCAACACTTACATTACATCACTACATTGCAAAAAAAGATATTGTTGCCCAGGAGTCAGTGCAGAGATGTGTGACAGGATACATTTCCATGCTTAAAGCAATGAAATATACTAATAGGACAGAAAATGAACCTTTTAAGTCAACAGCAGTAGTCAGCTACTAGCTGCTAGCAACTGAACTACCTAAATGTGCCGAAGCATCTTCATTTGTAATCTTTCTTATATTCCTGTTCTAAAAATATTTTGAGCTGCATATTGATTGATGCAGTTATTGTATTGTTTCGGAGAAAAATAACATCATGATGCATTTATCTAGCATAACTGTAAGTGTAATGTAAAAATATGGATTTTAATGATTAGTTAAACGTTCTCAATAACAGACGGCCTGGCCCTTTAAGGCGATAACCCGGAAGTTTTAAGCCCTGCCGGCTGATGGGGACAGGTTCTCTTTCCGGCGACCAGCTCGGCGAAGTGGTGGCGTGGTTGTTATCAGGTCTAAAGCAGATCATTCAATATGAGTGTCCCGGCTTTCATTGACATTACTGAGGAGGATCAGGTATATTAGAAACAGATCTGGCCTTCGGGTTTGGGGCGAGTTGCAGGTTGAACGTTAAGGTCTTATTTGTGTACTTTGCGGATGATCTTTGAGGCCTAGCTGTATAAGATTTAGCCAATAAATTAACGTGTGTCTCAACATCTATACAGAAAGCGAAGAACTGGATTTGTAAATGTCTGTGAATTGTGTATCATTGTGAGCAAATTGCAATTTTAAGTGGTGAAAGTCTTTTTTGTACGTTCACCTTCCTCGAAGAGAATCTTGGCGGCGTACGGTATTCATTGTCTTCAGTGACATGCCGCTAGTTGGGCATCACGCCCCAGTTTTGAAACCATTGCGCTATCAGTGTTCACGCTTTGCTAACCCGCTAATGGGACTGTTTCACCGTGAGGTGTAATAAAACTGGAATAGGGTTTTGACTGCAGCTGCTTCCGTCTGACTCTGGTCCGCATTGTTTTCAGACAAAGCAGAAACCAGATGGTGCTACATGAGGGGGGTGTCTGTTGGGCATATTGTGAATTGAAAGAGTACGTGTTGTTATTAACGCCAAATAAAACGGGGTTTGACAGTTTGGTTGTTGTCTGGTTACAGCTCATGTAAAAGGCTCTTGATCATAGAATGAGATGTAATGTGAATTTGTTAAAATAGATTTATTGTCCCACTTTAGTGGGATTTTGCTGAATTAGAATTTGCCAGTGGTGGCACAAATGTGCACTCTCCCGTGTGTCCTTTTTACAGGCTTCAGAGCTGAGAGCCTACATCAAATCTAAAGGAGCTGAGATTTCTGAAGAGAACTCAGAAGGTGGACTCCATGTGGATTTGGCCCAGATTATAGAAGCATGTGATGTCTGTCTCAAAGATGACGACAAAGGTTGGTTCTATTCAGGATGACGTTTGCTTGAAAACCTATAGATTTTATTCTGTACATTGCAGCATAGCCCACTTCAGTATTGTCCTAGGACCTATACTCATGGAACTTGAGATTGTAGAAAGAAAAGTACAGAACAAATAAAGAACCACAACTGATTCATTCCACATTCTTTTCATTTCATTCATTCCATTATCCCATTATGTTCATCATTGTGCTCTTAAATATTGAATGCTGTCATACTTTATGGATGTTCTTGATTGAACACTTTTGATAGTTACTGTTTTAATACAGTTGCTAAGCATAGCCTGAGGTGCCTCATTAGCTAAAGGGAGTTATTTTTTTCACATAAATTCAGTTACAACTCAGAAGAACTCAGTCTAAGTGCCAGGGCTGGTTTTGCCTTCAGTATTTTTTAAATGGTAATTTCAGATAAATACTGTATTGATTTGTTTGTTTTGTATAAGATCTGCAGCTGTTACTGTCCATAAGTAATCAGTCTTGGCAAATTTTCAGAAATCTGTTGCAGTGTGTCAGCCCTGTCTTACCTGCTGCATCTCATTTCTGAGAAATGACATATTCATCTCCTAGTGTTTGAGTTCTGTCTGAGCTGTGCGGTCACAAAGGGAAGTCTGGAGGTGAAATATTAACAGCCCCCTCTGTCTTCTCGCAAGATGTGGAGAGTGTGATGAACAGCATTGTCTCTCTGCTCCTGATCCTGGAGACGGATAAGCAGGAAGCTCTGATCGAGAGCCTGTGCGAGAAGCTGGTCAAGTTCCGCGAGGGCGAACGCCCTTCCCTCCGAATGCAGCTGTGAGTCGCCTTTCCCCCTCGTTCTTCACTGTTGTAGATAGTGCAGGGACCTCGCACACTACGAGCCGCGCCACGTCTTGTCGGTGTGTTGGTTGTGCGGTCACAGCTGAATTGTCTTGTGATTTTGTCCAGTGCTTTCCCCGAATTCAAGCCTGGATTTTTTTTCTCCACTGTTCTGTCCAATTACAGGCTAAGCAATCTTTTCCATGGCATGGATGAGAACGCCCCGGTGCGTTACACTGTCTACTGCAGCCTCATTAAAGTGGCAGCCACCTGCAATGCGATCGCCTTCATCCCAACTGAGCTCGATCAGGTGAGCAGTCACAACGTGTCGCACCCTGTCATGCTTTATTGCTTCCAAGAGAAAAGTTTCAGAGTTTTTTTTTATACAGGATGACAAGATGAAAGCCATTTCATACAGTTGCCTTCCCCTTTTTTTCCACATAAACAACTTTATTTACTCTTATCCTTTCTGCCAGGTCAGAAAATGGATAACGGACTGGAACCTCACCACAGAGAAGAAACACACTCTGCTGAGACTGGTGTACGAGGCACTTGTAGACTGTAAAAAAAGGTAGATTTGAATGTAAATCGGCACCACACTGTTCTGGGAGACCGTTTTCTATTCTGTTTAATGCTAGTGTTTGTTTTGTCCTCAGTGAACCTGCAGCTAAAGTCATGGTGGAGCTGCTGGGCAGCTACACTGAAGACAACGCTTCTCAAGCCAGGGTCGATGCTCACAGGTGAGCACCTCTTTCCTGGCTCGCTCTGTCTCAGTGTTTAGTGTAGAGCCAAAGAGGAATTCAAGTGAGTTTAAAATGGGTTTTTGAAGTGGCTTTATGGTTTCACTCAGCAGGATATATTAAACCATGAACATTTAATAATAATAATGCATATTACAAACAGTTCAGCAGAGAGGTGATGATTCAGGCCTTCTGGCTCTCTTGGTTCTGGTAGCTGAAGTGATCAAAGTTGCCGAGACATTTTTAGGGATTTCACCTGTCGTCTGGTTTTTGTTTTACGTTTGATTCTGAAGAATTCCTTTGGGTTCACACTATCAGTGCTTACTGGCCTGGGACTGAACCCGTTTACTTTTCATTGTACCGATTCCAGAGAGGCAATATTATTTTGTAACAATCGTCACCACATTTGTATACACTGTTGGCTGTTTTTTAAAGTATAATCCAAATGGGAAGAATTTTGAATAATGGGGCAGGGTAACTTTCAGTATGTTCTTTGTTTCTTTAAATAATCTTTCAAAATAGTTCCGGTGGGTAGCTGTGTCAGCATGTGTATGCTGCAAAGGAACAAGTAATAGGTTTATTCCATGCTCAAAAGAAAAGAAAGAAAATGCAACGTTTCAGCTGTGAAGCCTTCTTTGGGTGTCCTTATACAGTCCTTACACAGGCTCCACAGCCGAAACGTTGTTTTCTTTCTTTTTTGAGCATGGAATACATTTTTCAAAACAGATTGGCTGCCATGTGATTTTCTTTTCCCTCTTCTTCCCTAGATGTATTGTCCGTGCTTTAAAGGATACCAACACATTTTTGTTCGATCACCTCCTGGCCCTGAAACCAGTTCGATTTTTGGAAGGGGAACTTATTCATGATGTGAGTAAGACAGGCTTGTTTCTCCAGCACAAGTGTGATGCACCATGTTTATTTTAATATGAAAGTAATGTGGCTCTGAAGAATTTAATTTGGCTGAGCCATGAAACATCCTGAAAAACGACTCGCTTTGGTATTCTTAATATTGTGGAAAATAGGGGTAAGTTATATTTAAACTGCTCAAATATCCAGCTTTATATTAGTCTTTTAAATTGCATGTCTTTCTATAGAGTGGATATTGTTAATGTTGTGGTGAACAAGATCCTTAGATCTTTGAGGTTCACTCGTACGTTTCAGTTAAAGGCAGTTTTATGAAAGCTGAAAGGTCAAAACTCTAAGCTAAAACATAGAAGTTAAGAATCCTGGTGTTTCTCTAGCACAATGTGTGATGCACCATCACACATCTTTTTGGTAAGACAGCACAAAATGAATTCCATTTTTCTAAATGTCCATTTCAGTTTTAACTTGGGGTGAACCATTTCGCAGTGCAGTATAAAGTGGAGAAGAGCAGACGTTTTCAATGTTGTTTTTTGTGAGAATGTTTTTTTATTTCCTCACTAGCTGCTGACCATCTTTGTAAGTGCAAAGCTAGCGGCATATGTGAAGTTTTACCAGAACAACAAAGACTTCATCGATTCCCTTGGTGAGCTGCACACTGCCCTTTGATTACATCTGGCTACTTTTGTTACTCTGTTTTCCTTTAACAGCTCAAATGTAGCTAAAAACCTACAAGGGCTCATTTCATGGGCAAGATGAGCTATACTCTTAGACATGTTTACCTGAAATGACATTAAGTAGCCCCAGATTCATGCTATTCAGTGTTTGAAACCACTGGAAAAAGTTGCGTAACACTTACGTTTGTAAAGTCATTTCTTGGAATTTAGTTTCATTGTGCGCATTAGGGAATTACATTGTTTTAAATTTTGAACATGCAGTGGCTGAATATTACAGTGTGACCCTTGCATAATTTGAAAGTTAACTTATCTTCTAATATTCGAAGATCCTATCCCTTTTAATTAAAATAGAAGCTATTAGGCCATTGAAATGAACTAGTACCCATTTACCTGTTTCCTAATAATGTGCTAAGCAGCACCGAGTGTTATTTTAGTGTTAAATGAGTGCATTAGACCCTGTAGGGAACGTAATGCACTGGCTAATTTGCTTTGGCATTCAAGGCACAGTGATGGAATGTTAATGTCAGCAGCCTCTTTATTTACACACTATATAAAAAGGAATAGTAATTAACACTTGGGCACTCCCATACTGATGTGTAATTGACTGTTTCAAAGGAGCACTGGTTCATAATCTAGTGTGTGTATTAAAATTACGTTTTCCATATTGTCCCCCCCTTAGGATAAGGGTCAGTGGTACCGTCAAAGCCACTCGTGCACACAAGAGTTCTTTATTACAGCATTAACATTTTGACATATTAATCAGTAAGTGTTTTGATTTTTAGTGACCTCAAGAGAGTGGAATAGACCAAACATCCAGATTGATCGTGGATGGGCAAATGGTTTTACATTGTGCAGTGTGCATTTTGGAGTTATAAATATCTTAAACACAGGAAATCACAATTATATGCTTCTTTGTGAGCTTACAGTTGGATTACCCTCATCCCTTCTCTTTATCAGAGTACAGAACCCTTTTGATGACAACAGTTTAGTTACTGGAAATACTGTGGATACTCCATTTACAGCTGTAATAAACCCAAAATATTTTGCTCTATAGATCAAGGGTAGTATTTTAAAAATCTTTTGCCAGAAACTAATAATAGAATTGTCAAACTATTTAATTTAATGTTCTTGGTCAAATATAAATGCTGCAGCAGTTAGTCCAAACAAAGTCTTAATAGAGTGTTAAAACTTAATTATAAGTGAATAGCAGTCAGTTCTGTATGCCTTGTATCTAAGCCCAGTTGTTGAGCTGCAGTTATCAGTTGGTTTATGGGTAAATTGAAGGCAGTTTAAATTGTTAGTTTAAATCAATATAAAGCACTTATTTATTCATCTTGACAAGTTAGGCCAAATGCAACACCCTATTTTGTCAACTGTATCGCCCTAACATATGTCCATCTGGTTTCAATGGCCTCTTCAAAACATAAAGTTAATGAGCAGTTCATTAGCATTTGTTAATTAGGGTTAATGTGCATTAATTGATTCTTGTTGCTTGTATATTCCAATTAAGTCCAGTTAGTTGTTGTAGTGACTGGTGTCACCTGTGCAAATGAGTTATGTTTTCCCCTCTACATCTCTTTTGCCAGATGAAAATCCTGAACCTCATTAGTGTTAATTAACATTATAGAATTAGTAAGATGCATCTTCCCTGCTAATTAGCTTGCACAGAAGCAGTATATATGGTTTAAATTCAGTACATATTTTTCAGTGACCTGTATTTTAGGTTCTTTATTTTAATGGCATCTTTGTGCTGCTTTGTACCACATTTAGTGATTATTGGATAGTTTTTATTGAGTAAACTGGATAAATTGTAAAAAAAAATAGTTCACTATAAATCGAAAGCATTGGTGCTTATTTGGTGATAACATTTGTTTAACACTGGTTAACATGCCATGTTAGCAGTTTTCGTTACTGCATTTCTCACTAAAATACATTTAACATTAGACATTTTATGAAGAAATTGTTGACTTCCGTATCCATAAGTATGATGTAAATTATTTTTCAGGTCTGTCACATGAGCAGAATATGGCCAAGATGAGGCTTCTTACCTTTATGGGCATGGCAGTGGAAAATAAAGAAATATCATTTGATACCATTCAACAGGAGCTGCAGATTGGAGCTGATGATGTTGAAGCATTTGTCATTGATGGTATGCTCTCTAAGCATACTAAGTATTTGCATTATTTTATGAAGTGCCGAATCTACAAATATCTCTTTTCTGGCTTTAAAAACAGGATGTTTGTAGACCGTTAATGGAACTGAATTGGCACTAGACCAAAGACAATTTTAGTGATCTTTGTTTTTAATATTTACTACCGTTTCAATATTTATTCATGTTTCTTACAACAGTGGCTTTTGAGTACTATATTTGTTCATGACAATGTCATTTACTTGTAAATAATACCATATGTCAAATGAAATTAAGGCCAAACTTTTTTTAACTGAATTACCATTTTATTCCTTTTAGCTGTAAGAACTAAGATGGTTTATTGCAAAATTGACCAGACACAACGGAAGGTAGTTGTGAGGTAGGTCTTCTATTTGATTGCATTGTTTCAGTTTATCTTATTTACTATGAGGCACTGCAGTGTTGACATTTTCTGCCTATAATTAAAATCTGGTAATTTATCATAATTTTATTAAATTTAGGCATGAATGTAATTAGCTAGTATAATGAAATCGGCCTTTTTTTCCAGCACACTTCCCTTAATGACCCAGCCAGGACTAGAATATTAATGTCTGGTGTTGTTTTCAGTGGCTAGGTCAAGGCCGCTGTGATCCTTTCAACAATGCAGCAATCTATTGTACATTACGAAATTTCCTTCTGTATGTTATCAGTATATCTGGAACTTTTTTAATTCTTTCAGTTGAAGAATGTTTATAAAATGGATTAAAGCTTTACAGTGAAGAGAGAGAGATACATAGTTTCTGAAGTGTAAACTGTTTATTAACTTTTTTTTATACAGCATATATATGTATTCATGCATTTCATAGAACTATACTTATGGCAATTCTGTAGTATTGTAATGCAGATAATTGTCATTTTCTTGAAAATTAGTAGAAGACTATTTCTGAGAGTGAATGTGAGTAAAGCATATAAGTCTAGTTTTGTGATCGTTTAGTCAAGTTTGTCTAATCCAAAGCCTACAAACAGTGGTCTCATCAGACTAACACTATTCAGAGGTAAAATTAAAAGAGTCTAAAAAGCTTTGAAACGGTCTTGCAGTATGTTCATGTCTATCTATGTAAATTGCCCATTGACTCCCCTGTACATCTCTCTCCTCTTACAGCCACAGTACACACAGGACTTTTGGAAAACAGCAGTGGCAGCAACTGTATGACAGCCTCAACTCTTGGAAACAGAACCTGAACACAGTGAAAAACAGCCTTCTCAGCCTCTCCACTTCAACATAAAATCTCAAAACAGTGTTTTGACATTTTTATATTTACAAAATAAAAAAAGAGATTAATCATTTTTGATTAATTTATTGGTCATGAAAGTTAGAGCATCATATTAAAAATCTGAAGAAGAAAAATAAAGTTCAACCATAACATTTGCATGTCTAGAATAATTCTGAATTCTCTTTATGCTACAAAGTCCTAGATGAGTTTTCCTTAGAAGAAACAAACACATTCTGACAATGTTGTCATTGCTGCAACAGACTTAAAGATTTAACAGGACATAAGCTTTACACTAACAACACTGCAAATAGTGCAAAAGTTGAAGGTAACAGAACACATTTGTCAATAACAAGCAAAGAAAAGTTGGTAAATTTAATTTTTGGTGAATTCATACCTTATCTGCTTATACCAAACTGCGACTTTTCTCTGCTTACATGTAAAACAACTGGTAAATTGTTTTTGGTTTGTAGCTGAGAAAGTTTTAAAGGGGAATAGCAACAGAGCAACGAACAATATAACACTAATGAATTTCCTCTACTCTTTCATCCTTTTTCCGTTTCCTTGTGCATCTGAGTCTCTCTAAAATCAGAAATTTCTGTATCTTGCTGACTTCGTCATGAATTCTCTGCTGAAATTCCAGGTCTTCATCAGACTTGGCTGAAACACTCTCGGGACTCATTGCAGAAGTATCATTACGTTTGTTGGGGGAATTTAAACATGCTGCTGGAGTGTTTTTTTCTGGCTCTGCATAAACGTTGATGGAGGAATCTTTTTTTAATATGGATACTGCTGGTGTAGGCATATAGCTATAAGAAACTGGAACCTTTAGAACCTCAGTGGTCTTCTACCAGACAAAAGCAAAAAAAAATGGCATCTTGTTAGAGACAGAACATTTATGTGTTCAGATTCACAAATTGTTCTCCATTTAAAAAAATCATGATAAATGTTTGATCAAAATTAAAGACTTATATAATGAGAACAGTTTTTTTAATCCTGTGAGAGAGAATTACTAGGGGGTTATATTTCTTAATGTAGCATTTTTCTTTCAATTGGAAACACCTGCTTCTAATGAACTGGAGAATGACATTGTCAAGTGTCAGATGAAACTGAAGTAAAGAGGCACTGGCAAGTAAACGTCCATTGGTAACTATTTCCTTAGGTAATCCATCCTCATCTAGTTGCTGTAGTTGGCATGTACAACGTCATATAGAAGCAACGTGTGTATGAACACTGATGTTGGATGACTTCTGGTTTTGGAATGAAAAAGTCTAGGACATGTTACACTTTAGATTTTGTCATTTTAAATTGAGATTTTAATTTGTTGTATAATGAACTAGAAAATATAGGGTACAGCTGTAAAATAGACATTTTGTAAATAGACCAAATGTTCTAAAGATTAGTTTATCATCTAAATTAACAAAACAAGAAAAGCTGCAAACATTTTTCCCCCTCTATAATAGTCCAAACAATCTATTTTCATTTTTAGGACCATGTTCAGAACAAGTCATGATTTCTCCATGGAATCAGTTATTCAAGATGAAATATCCACATTCCGATGTACAAGAAGGTTGTAGTTCTTGTCTTTTTCTTGATTTTTTTTGAAAGGGTTAATAATGCACTGAATTATGTGGAAACGTTTTTTAAATTGCCATGGAAAACTTAATACATTGGCAGGAACAATGACATGGTTTATTTCACATTGTTTTCAAAAAGCCTTACAAATTTCAACTCTGATTTGGTTCTTTAGTTATGTTTCTTTGAAGACTGATGCTGATTTGAACGTTATAACATGGCACAGCAACCGGCCTAAGTATTTCTGATTAAACTGTTTTTTGGCAAACTACTTTTAAAGGAAGAGTTTAATCAACATGCTAACAAGTTCTCTCCAGCAATTAAATGTTTTCAATGGAATACACAGCAAGCTGTCTTTCCCCTCCTCCAGGCTCTCCGAAGTGCTGGATAGCATCTGTTTGATTTATATGCTGTGACTGTTTCCCGCTGTTCTCCATCACCCTTAATTGTGAAAAATGCTGCCATCTTGCCCTGCTGATATTTTTTTTGAAAATTGAAAGGGTCTTAAACCATCCAGATGTGTTCGGTGCTGTATCACATATCTATGGAATTAGCTCACTGTGCTCTTCTGTGTAATATTTTTAGTTAACTTACATGTTCTGCTGAGATTTCACAAAAAGTCTGTGCTATTGCATTCCACTCGTCTCTAGGATCTCTCTTGTGGCAAGGATGAATACTGGAAGTATTCAACATGTCAGCAGCCCTTTTAATTGTGGGGGAATCTAGATGACAAAGAGGAAATGGTAGCAACAGCACTTAGAGCTAGCCAAGATACAATTCCATAGATGCTTGTTTTTCAGCTATAGAAAGCCTTTACTATCTTTGATCTCAAGATGTACTGCTATTTATCCCAAAAAAAGGAAACTGCTGTTTATTCTAGCCATGTATAAAATCTGATATCTCATTGTACTGTACATTAAGCTATAAAATATAAAGATCTATACTTTGATCTCATAGCTCAAGAAGCAGTGAACTATGAAGATTCCTTTAAAGGAGAGACTGTACCTCTTCAACACAATGCGGTTGTTTAAAAAAATATAGTATATTAAAGAGTTTCAACTGCCAATCACTGAGAAAATCCTGAGCATAAATTTTACTTTAAAAAAAAATGATATTTTGACATGTTAAGCAATTCAATTCTGTATACATTACTTTTGATTATCTTATATAAAACCTTATAAAAAGTTGTAGATCTCAGGGTACCAAGTAACCACCCTAACATAGTATGTTATCTTGTACAGTACCTATTTTAAACATTCCTTAAGTCATCTAATGTAAGTAAAACATGGTTATGTTCTTACCTTTCTCATTTTGTTCCTCATCCTGATACAATTTGGGATTTGTTTTAGTTGAAAACACCTCATGCAATGCAGGAGGCAAAACAGTATCTCTTTTTAAACAAGATGGTATTAAAGGTGTTGAGGTCTGGCTGTTAACATCTTGATCCACTTTCACAGAAGAATGAATATCATGGGATTTCTGGGAAGTTGGGAACTGTATATTTTTTAAAGGTCTTAACTCAAATGCTGATCTAATTTTTTTGCTTTCAGAAGTGAACATAGTGTCAGAAGAAGGAAAATATATTTCGCCATTTGCATTCTTTGTGCTGTCTTCTTGGTGTTCGTTGAGATTGGTCTTTTCAGCCCTAGGCATGAGGATTTCTTTTTTGAAACTTTTGTTTTTATGTGCTTCACTGTAATTAGTACATGGGAGGATTCCTTCATTTAATTTGTACATAGAATGAGATATACTGCTCTGATCACTTTCAAATATTGTTCCCCTTCCACTGTCAACATTAGAATCCGTCTCTGTACATGTCTTTTTAACATCTGGAGTGACTGTCTGGACCAAAGATTTGTTTTCTGACCGATTGTGAGCTGCAGAATTTATGTTTTTTTCAATGGTTTCTGACTGATTTGATAGTTTTGTTTCTGAGTCATTTGTAGCTGGTTGGCTGCTTGGTGTTTTGTCCCTTCTGTCATCAGTTTCTGTTGTCATCTGGTCCTTGACTTCCAGTTTGCTATAACACTGAGATATGGTCATTATGCGTTTTGTGGCATCTGCTGGGTCAGATCTGTTAAATCCAGATTTTTCTTTAATAAAACGAGATGTTATTTTTTTAAGTTTAGGGTCATTTTGCAAAGGAGTCCTAAACCCGCCAAGAATTTCAGAAGCTACAAGATTGGTTGGATACATTTCATTTAAAGCACTTTTCACTTCAGGAACTTCTGTAACATTACTTAACTTGGATTCTGAACATTTCTGGTTGTCTTCATCATCTTTAGCTGCCACTTGTGTTTTGAGTTCAGGGCTGCCTTCAGCCAGCTCATGCTGACAGTCCTTGTGTGCAGTTACTGGGTCAACTTCATTGTGATAAACACAACTGCCTTTGGGACTGGGTAGCTCACTTATAAAGTCACCTTTGTTGCAAAGCATTGTGGTCGCTGTAGAGCTCTTATCAAGCATACCATAAACTAGATGACTTTCACCAATGCCAGATTTATGTTTGCTGGAGTCTGTCTGCTGACCTGTATCTGCACTATAGACACCTAATGCATCAGCACTGTCTAAAATCATAGTTTCTGTAACTGGGACTTCTGCCAAAGTATCAGGACTTCCTTGTGGCTTGAGAGTTGTACTGGCAAGGTCTATAGTAGAGCAAATGTTCTTAGTCCCTCCTGTGTCTTTGCTTCCAGAAGCATAAACATCATCAGTCTGCACATTGATAACCACACAGTAGTCTGCTTTTGAAAGTTCATCATTCACTGTCTCTGCAGGCTCCTTGGAACTAGCAAATGTACATTTATCTGTATGTATAAATGATACATAAATAGCAGAATAGCTGATAATTATGTTTATATATAAAAAACAGATTTAGAGAATTATTTTTAAGCTACATATTTGCACTTATAATTCAGTAATTTACCATGTGTGTTTGAGTAGAAGGGTGAATATAAAAATGCCAGATTATCTTATTTTATTTCTTAAAGTACACTTTCTGCTGTACTATATTAATTGGAACATCATGACATTCAAAACTAAACTTTAAAACATATGTACCAAACTTACATCATAAAAAACTGAACTAGAAAACCAGTTCTTCTAGTTTCAAGTGAAATCATCCTGCTTACCTTTGAAATGTTCAATAATGTTTTTTTCCTCAATATCAATATCCTGTAAACTCTGCGTATTGTTGCTTTGTAATACAACTGCTTTACTTTGGGAATCATTTATTAAAGGCGAGTTTACTTCATGTCTTGGAGCACACACTTCTTTAATCTCATTATCAGAGCCATTGTGCTTTTTGGGCTTTACATCAACGCTGAAAACTTTTAAATTATGCTGTCAGGGTTGAGAAAAATAAATTACACAGTAAACATGAAGAATAGCACGTTTCCGAAGTAGGAAATATGAGGTAAAAATTGACTTGCATGCATATACTGTATTTGTTAAAGTAAAAATAAGTTGCAATGAGACTGGTGTAAAGTCTTGTGAATTTCTTATAGGAGAAGTGTCATTAAACCTTTATGTAACACGTGTTTTGTAGGCCACTGTTCACATCTGGCTCTTTAGGAGATGAACTCTGGCCAGTGTCCACCAGTGATTCTGCAGTCTAATGTCATTGCTCATTGAAAATCTCTTTCTCCTCTTTGAAGCCCAGATTCAGAGTTCACAAACTTTTTCTATTGGCAGGACTTTCAAGTGAACTTTTGAACTGACATCCAAACCTGTTTTGTTTGAATATCAGTTCAAAATGACTAAAAAATAAATCTAGTTTGTTGGAAGTAAAATGTTAAATACTGTTTCCATTGTTTCACACACATGAATCACAAGCTAATACAAAACTACCTTTAGCATTTGTATTTGCTCTGCTTGCTGGACACTGCAGGATGATAGCTGGTTGTGCTGCTCATGGAGATAATCATATGCTTCCTTGTGAGATCTGAGCTTTTCCTGTGTTTGCTGAATTTTCTCCTGTAATCTCATCTGCTGCTCAGTAAAACAATCACATATAAAACATGTATGAAAGAGAATGGTGTTAAAATACTTATCATATAGCATTATCTTCACTATTTTTATTATAACCTTTTTTACATTTACCCTAAACGCAAAAAAATAATTATGTTTTAAGATCTGTTAGGACAACAGCTATAAATAATGATGAGTATTATTATACTTCTCAAACTCTACCTCTTTTTCCCAAATTGCTTTAGAATTTTGGCATTCCTCTGTTAGACTGATAAATTTGTCTTCTTTTTCTTTGATCTTCTCTCTGAACAGTTCATTGTCTCTTTTAAGGGCCTGCAATAAAATTAATCACCCAAGAAATTTTTAATACAACAATAATGAATTTTTATGTGTTAGTTAGCTTGGACGAAGGATTCTAAACGTGCAAAGGGCCTCATACAAATCAGTTAGGATGTGTCATCTTAACAATAATTTCAATAAATTAGTAAAAATGTGCATTTAACTCAGCTAACAGAAACCTGTAGGAGGATATAAAGAAGAAAAGGCTATGAAGGAGGATTAAAAACACTTGCTATTATTCAGTTGCAGTTCATGCCTCCTAATGCACAATATAAAATGATATATAATGCTATGCCATTTTATGTGCAGCTGCTTTACATCATTTACTTCAATCCTCACATAAATATATCCGGTAAACACTGCACAGGACAAATTCATACTGTCTTTAACATTAAAGCTTGAGATTTTTTTTTTTAAGAAACAAATAAATCAAAAGCAGTATTCTTATCTGTTATATTCAATTTTACAGTTCGCAAAAACCTAAAATATTAAAAAGTTGTTAAAATGTTTTCAAAACTAATGGCAAACAGTTGTAATCCATCACCACCAGTTATTTTTAATGAAGTACTGTTTTCCTTTTCATCAGCAACAAACTAGTATTCCACTGACTTAATCTGACAGTTTCATTATATTGCCATCAATATCTGAGGAACAATGAAGTAGTCATTCCCTATCACTAGAGAAGCCATTTGTTAAAGACAAGAGGCATAGGCTTATGCCATTTCTAAAATTTAAAATAGCTTAAACTCATGTCAAATTACATAAAAAACAACAAACATTTATAAAATGCATTGACTATTTATGGACTGTTTATTGAAATAAACCTTCTTTTGTGCTTATCTGAATGAAAAAAAATGAAAAACTCAAAAGCAAGACATGAAAAACATCAAAATTCCTTAACACAATCTTTGTTTAAAAAAAATAAAAAAATGTTTACGTGAGTTTGTAGAATAGCTTCTGCCAATAAAGACTTCATTTCATTATTATCTGAGACAGACACAGACAAATGAACATTTAAAGACCCTGACCTGATGTTCCTCTCTCTGAGCATTCAACTCCAGTTCCACTCTACCAATTGCCTCAGTCTGTCGTTGCAGCAGCTGCTGGGCATGCTTTAGGGAGTTCATAACCTCCTGAACACAAGCGGCAAACAGATAATGTATATTAATGACATACAATGCTGCAGTAAAACAGTACTGAACAATTTATCCCTTTTTATTGCTGTGAATCTTATAGTTTAGATAGCAAAATAAATGATATTTTTAATGCTTGAAAAATAGAAGTAAAAGCACATGATATACATAATCATTAAAATAAATTACAAAATTCATTTCCAGGACAAAAGCTGTCTCAATTTGCACCTGTTTTTCTTCTCGTATGGTGGCATTCTCTTTAGTCAGCCTTTTGGTCATTTCTGTTTCCTTCAGAAATAAACATATAGGTAAATACACATACTTCATGAAAATGACTATTTTAAAAATGAATGATTTTGTCCAGCATTCTGTATCTTCTAAGATTTAGAATTGAAAAATAATTTAAAAAATATACAGTACATACTGCACTAATGTAAACATCTTTAATACTGAATCCACACACAATAGCTTTAAATTACAAGCATGTCTATAGATTTTCTGTTTAAGTAAAACATAAAAAATACTTACAGTATTCAGATATTATTTAAAAGTTATATTTTAAAATAATGTAGTAACTACAAATAGTATTCTCCAGTATCAAAATCATCTACCACAAGAAGTTTGTGTTGAAGCTGCTGTATCTCTTGCTCCTGTAATGTGCGATGCATGCTTTCATCTCCCCTTTTGCAATGAGATGACACTCTGGATTTAATTAGCTCTTTATTAAGTTTCTCAATATCCTAAATGAGACAAAATTACATTATATACAATGTGAAATCTTAAAATTCATTTACAGGACAATAGGTTGAGAAAGTTAGCTAAATTAACTGACAGTAATAAACTTCAACCATTGACATTTTTATTAACAGTAAAGAAATGGAAGGCGGTAAGTACAATTCTGTTTTATATTCAGAGCAATATTTTAAAGAGGCCTGGTGAAAGTCAGGAACTTATCTACAAAAGTACTCTCATTCAATACCTTTAATATTCATAAATAACCCTCTTTCTCAATATATTTTCAAGCAAAGTAGAAAGGTGTAGCAATTAAATGTTACATGCTTTGATCTCTTCTAATGACAATTTATTGAAACTCACATTTGAAGATATTCTGCCCTTCTCCCCCACCTCTCCCTTACTAGTACAGTGTTGTCTGTTTCATATCCCTGTCTCCTTCAGAACACTGACATTCGCTCAGACAAATAACAGAAGTTATGAATGCTGCTCATAGATAGTATCAAGAATTCTTTATGATGCCATCATAGGGAACTTAGTATTTGTAACACTAATAGCATTATCTGGCAACACAGGTTGGTCTGTTTAACTTTTCTCTGGGAAACTGGAATTCAACCTTATCACAAAGCAATTTCTCAAATGCTCTTGGCAAAGTCATAAACCAGTGTAAAACATGAATGATAAATGCAACGTATGTCTGATAGATACATCATTGCACTTTTTCATTTCAAGTTGAATGCATTGCAGATAGAAGGAATGGAATACAGTAGGCAAATTAAAGATTGATCATTTATCATACTATGGATACCTGTGCCATGGAGCAATAATATGTGGAACATCCAAGTCCAGACCTGGAAGATCAAATCTTATTCCTATGAAACACTCTGTTAGTCTACAAAAATAATCCAATTGAGACATACTCTCAAAGGATCTCATCTGAAGTGCTTAACATAAAAATGTAATATCAGCAGGGAGTACTGTTAGACTGTGTATGACACATTCAACATTGCATTACATGGATATTAGTACATAATCAGAAGAATAAATATTTTACCAGCTCTAAAAAGTTTCTTCTAATAATAATACAAAAATCATTCAAGTGTCTTGGTCTGTTGTATCATAGAGCACCCAATTCCGGGTGAGGCTGTAGTATATGAATAGGAAGGCAATGTCTGCAATACGTCAAGGCTCAGTGCCAGCAATTAAGAGCTGCTGGAAGGTGTGAAGGTGTTGGTCTGAAAGACCACCTATTAAAAGCTGTATCAGTATGAAAGTACTTCTGTAAATTTCAAATTCTGAATACAACCGGCATGATGAAATGTTATTTTACTTGAAATGATATGATATGACATGATACACTTTATTAATACCCAAGGGGGAAATTAATTTGCCAACACAACTCATAGACATAGAAGAATCATAAATAACACTACCCAAACATTACAGCTACTGCAAAAACAGACATATAAAGCAGTACACTGACACAACTGATCAAACTATGCAATACACAAATTGGAACTGTACAAGTGTACATTTACTACAGATGTTTTTACCTTTTTCAATCTGAATATGGTGGCTTCTTGATTGTAATTCAGAAGAGTAAGTTTTTTATTTAGCCTCATCGCTTCTTCAACTGAAAGACATTTTTTTAAGTTCAAAATGGGTTTAAGCATAAAAGAAAGTTTCCCTCAATCACAAATGTTGCTTTGTTGTTTAAATAAAGTACAGCATTATCAGACATCACTTTAAATGTTCCTACAAAAAAGATAGCAATATTGCCATACGGAAGACAGGAAACCACTGAATTTCAAGGCTGGGGGATGGCATTTTTGTAATAGCTTGTAAAAATTAAATTTTAAACATTTTATTTTGCGATGATATGCTTTTGTCTAAATCCTACTGTTTAATCAAACAGATACAGATTAACAACATATTTTTTATTGCTTAAAAATATACTGTTAAATATGACATACAGTACTTGTTATTACAGATTAATCCTTGACAAATGATGAGAAAACGATCACACATTGTACTTAAGGCACAATAACTCTGACATACCACCAACCTTTATTTTACTTTGAAATGTAGTACTGCTATTATAACAAAAACACAGCAATTATTCTTAATAGACAAAAAACAAGGAATTATCTTCTTACTAGTTAAACAAATAATACCAATTTAAAGGTCTATTTTAACACAACTGTCCTCTATTCCCTTAAAGAAATAAAGAAATATAAAATTTTCTAGTACCCTTTTTGATAATTGAATATTTCCCACCTTTGATATTTTAAATTAATACTAACCAAGAAGACTTCTCAACTTTATTAGTACTATTTCTTAATAAATAATTATATTTAATTTAAAACATCATAAGATAATAATCATTCAACAAGTTGTTAATAGATGCCAAAAACTTGGTTGCACAGTAAGATACCTAATATGTGCAAAATATAAAATAATGTAATTTTGAAAATAAATCATGACAGCTTTTACTTTTTCTTAATGTGGACTATATTTTTAGATTTGTTTAGTTTAGTTACTTTATTTCAAACATTCTAAATGAATGAAATGAAATATTATTGTCATTTGCTTTATTTAGGTACTAAATACTAAACTCTTACAACAATTAAACTTAGAAAAACAAAAATACATACCATTTTGTTCTAGTTTCTCATGAAACTGCTTAACCATAACACACTGACGAGAAATGGTTTCAAAACGTTTTTCAGCTTCGCTTATCTGGTTTAGGTGATTGTCCTTGGTTTGAGTCTGCAACTGTAGTTTCTGCTCCTGTAAAATGCAACTTAAGTAACACATGATTGAGAAAAACTAAAATAGTTTACAACAAAAACAAAAATATTCTTAAATTATGACTATTTTTCCATTCTTAGCTAAAAGAAAACAATAACCTAACTCTTTTTTTTAAATATCCGATCAATATATAATAATACTTTTGCAGGTTGAGTGAACTATACAGTATGTACATTAGAGTATTTCAGCTAATAGTACTATTTTACTTCATGGTAAGTCAATAATATTGTATGCATGGTTTCAGTCATTGTTCATTTGGTTGTTTCCAAACATTTTTAACAACATGAGGGTTATAGTGTGATGTGATGTTATCAAAGAATTTTAATAGTAATATTTATCTGTCGCGCTTGAGGTCCAAGTGTCATATACTCCCTATCCGTTACTATTGATGAGCCAGTCCCTTTCTTGTTCTTCTTGTTATACTCCTCTAACTCCCACTCTTCTCTGTCAACAATATGTGGAATTGGAGTCCTTACCAGTTCACTTAGTTTCTTCTGCAAACTGAACTTGAACACCTGTAAACAATAATAAAACAGAAGTTTTATACAGAAAAATAGAAATCACTTCTATTTGTATTATTCTTTACTTTGTATTACATCTGTACTCTTCAGTCCTAACTCTGACACCCTTCCATGTATTTAAAGACTCCTCACAGAATCACATGACATTTCTTAGACACTTTAACTCGAACTAAACTTTTCTAAAAGCAACACTGTAATGACAATGGCTTCTCTTTTTTAAATTCCATTTCAAAATCAAAATAAGACGTTATTTTACGTAGATGTGAGAGATTTTTTTCTAACTGTGAAACATGAAGAGTAGACAAGTGTACATAAGGATAATTAATCTATGCATATCATACAATCAGAGCATTTCCTGACATACTGTACAGTTGGTATGTTTTAGTCTTGAAATAAAAATGCATTTAATGTCTTAAAAGAAAATAAAAGTAATGAAATCAGTGACTGGAAAGAAAAAACTAAAATATTCAGCTTGGTGTTCAGGTGACCTCATGTGTTGGCTTGTGTCAGGCTATATCATTTCTATAGGCATTAATACAGCTTAATATAAAAATTCCATTATCTTACTTAGAAAAGGCCAGAAGAGCAGTTAATACTCCTTCTCACCAATGTATCATTTGCAGTAGACCATAAGATATATCCTATACATCATGTTTTCTATGCCATTCTTATAAAAAGACCAAAAAAGGTCAACTATATATATAAGATCATATGAATGTTCTTTGTCTCTGCAGAGACACAACACATTTGGAACTGATGTAGTAAACTCAAGCATAAAATCATTAATAAATCTGTAGCACATACATTTTGTCCAGAAACATTACCTGCAGTGATTTTAGCTCTTCCTTGAGACTATTGATCTCTTTATCCCTTAATTCTGTTGTTAGTTGATGTTTTCCCTTTAAATATAAAGCAACATTAAAACAATATTCATACAAACTTTTTATAATCAATCAATAATTAAATTATTAGGAATGCAAAACAATACCTAAATGTTTTACTGTATCCATAATATACAGTTATTAATACTTTAATAAATAAAACTGCGTTATGTAATAAAACAATAACATTTTTCTATACAGAAAAGTGTCGTATTAAATGTTACGATACAAAAAATAAAAAAAAAATTTGTACTTATGGACATAATATTCAGTACAAAATATATTACCATTATATGATTACTGTCAAACAATACACAATACATAAAAGTTCACTTTACCTTCTCTCCTTCAATTCCTCTGATTCTTGCCTGAAACTATTTTTATGAGCGTTTAGAATATTTGTCAAAGCATAATAAATTAATCTAATATTATAATGCACAGGTTAAATATAACTATAATAAACAGCCAATTCTGAAGGATAATGTAATACAACAATATAGTATATTAAATTCCTGTTTTAAGAACAGAATGATATGGATTTTATAATTTTTTAGAAAAACAAAGTTGTTACTTTAAGCTGAATATAGAAATTAAAACGTTATCATTACAATACCTTTTTCTTGAGAGCAGTTAAAGCATCTGTCTGCTGACTTTTTAAAGTATCTGTTTGATTTTGAAGGGATTCCTAAATTAATGAAGAAATCAGATTTAGGTATGTGTATCACCTGAATATTTATGTGTAACACATATTTAATAAATAGTTATTGAAATATTTATAAATCTGCCATTTACCAATTAACAAACTGAAATTTTAATTAGCAATTAGAGAGAAATAAGGTAATAGCTTCTCCAAAACTATTCCAGTATAGGTGTGAATAGTATTCCCAAATACTATTTAGAAAATGTCCTGACATACTTGGGTATATCAAAGACTGAACTGTCAAGAGCTGACACAAGCATTACAAAAAGAAACTTGAAAACTATTTTGGGACTTCAGATGCTTTGATCACAAGAATGCAAGGGCCACAGGAAACCATGTGTGACAGGTACCAATGCATATATTTTTATATTGTTAATGCTCCTTCAAGATGCTGAAAAAGGATAAATGAGAATTGGCAGACAGCCATCCTAAAAAAACAGCAGTTAAGAACAAAATCTGTGAAGCATTTGTCCTTCCCAGTTTGCCAGTCACAAATCAAATGCTAGAATATGTAAAAATATGTATGCAAAGTAAACTAATTTTATCCACTGACTTAGTGGAGAGGTTGTGTGTACTACAGGTATGTATAAAATCATTATAAAAACTACAATAAAGCAAAAAACAAAAGGAATGAGAAATAAATATCAACAAACTAGCAAAAATGAACTAGTGCAATGATGTATTAACTGTCACAGTGACCAGTTGTTTTAATCTACTTAAAGAATAAAATATTGCTTTGTGGTGGGTATGAATATGCAGGCTGATTGTTTTAATTTTTCCATCATGGCATGACTGTACCTGAATTGTGACTAGATAGAGGGAGATAAGATGCTGGTAGTACCTTTACAGGCCAGGGTAATATGATAATATCAACAGCCCCCAGTCAAGCTTGATAGCTTTCAAGATGGGAACTTTCTGGATCAGACTGACCAAATTCATGTGACTAACCAAAACACTACACTTAAATATAGACTGCAAAACAAAAGAACTAGCAGGTTCAAGAATGGTCCAGCATTCTTTCATGAATTTAAATGTATGTGTGCATAAAAGGTTGTCTCCTTTTCGCATCAGTTTAGAATGTGGACTTACCTGTGGAGGATTACTTATTTTATGAAAACGGTTGTATTTAGGTCAATTAAGATTTATGTCTAAATCTAAGTATATTTGGAGTGATCAAAGTTAGTAATTGAGTGTGAAGATAGAATGTTGTGTTTAGGCTCTTCACAGCTTTCACAACATACTTTAATGCACTTACAAAACTGCATTCTAAAGTTATTATTATAATACTTAGCATTATATTTTCTACAAAATAATGTTTATTTATATGTGTCTATTAAAATAGTACACATACCTTTTCCCATTCTAATTCTTGTTTTTCCAGCACAAGTTTATTAATCTGGTCTTCAAAACGTATTTCGGCATCCTAAATGAAAAAGGAAATCAATTTGCAACCATTCACAAAAACTCTGCTTATTATATTTATATCCTATTGTATAATTATAATGTATAGTTTTAAACAGTATTATGCTATTTGGATTTAATTATTTTAAGCATTTTAACATACATTATATACAATGTGACTGGTCTACATGAGTATTTCATTTTATATTAGTATTATCTAATCCTTAACATGTTAATTTCTTCATATTATGAGTATGTATCATGACTACTACTGTATATCCAAAGACAGTCTGCCAATCAAAGAAATTCCCTTAGAAAAGATACTCTAAATACCAGATTACAGGAGTAATCTGGGTACAACAGGTTCTTTTCCAGCAAGATCTCTGCATAAGCAAATCTCTCTCCCATAAATACAATTTCAATCTTAGAGATAAAACAACATTAAATTACAAGACATAGGAAGAGTATATAATTTATATTATAACACACCTGTTATATCAGCAACTATAAGAAATAGTAGTATATCAGAGGTATGATATTAACACAAGAGCATCCTTATCCTCCTTCATTCCTCAAAGGTAGGTAAAAGTCAATTGCTTTATACATCTTGTGACTTTTTTTTATATGTATGTAGGAGTTGGCCTATGCAGTTTATTTATAAGTTCCCATTAAAGTGTGCTACTAGCATGGCAATTTCCAGAAGAATTGCACACTAGATAAAGCAGTTAACAGTTCGAAATAAAATAATGAATGGATTTTTTTTTGCCCTGTAAAGCGGTCATTAAACTTGGTTATCTCAGTAAATCTTAGGACAAAGGGAGATCTACTGTGTCACAAGTTAGACAATAAGTTAAAACCCAAGGCACATACCTTTTGAATGCTAAAACTTGTGTTTTATAATTTTGCTATTTCCCTGTAGAGTACCATAACTGTATAATACATTAAAAAGGCTAGCTAGCCAAAATCAACATAATAATGCAACTCTTACACAGGATGTTGCTGTAGTACAAGAACATGGCATGAAGAGTGTTTGGATTATTTTAGCTTTCTTACACCTGCATTGTAAACCAAATGCTGTTGTATTAAGAATTGCATTACCTGATCTTAACCCAGATTTTTCTGGGATTCAATTTGACAGCTTCAGTTAGACCTACTGTACTGTATACAAGCTCAAGCTTGACATAGACCTTGACCTTTCCTTTATTGCACTGTAAATGGGCACTTTTTAAAATGGCAAGAGATCCTCTAAAATACCAAATATACTGTACTTACATTTACTCTACATAATTTAACCAAAGTATTTAAAAAATAATATCAGTACGATAAAATATTGGTCTGAGTATAACTGTTCATTTTAAAATCATTCTCGTACAAATATGTCTAAGTTATGAAAGTAACCCAAATATTATTATAAATTATTATAACTATAGTATTAATACATATAATTAAAATAATTATAGACACATAGAGTACTAGCTGAATAATATTAATGTGCGACACGTGTCCTGCGCTTTGAACTGCTTCAGCATGCTAGTTATTTTAATGTTGGTTTCTTAAAGTGCTTCATCATATTGTTTTTCCAAATACTCATTTAAAAGTCTTCTTTAACTTCCACTTAAAATGTTATGTTGCGCCTTTGTATAAAAACTATTACACATGCGTGATGTGAAATCATAACCTTTTTTAGTCACTCTCACTTTAATGAAAAAAAGAAGAAGGAAAGTGGTTCCATTTAAGAACTAATGTTGGGTCAGACATCAGGTTTTAACCCCAGACCAATAAAACAAAAAAATTCAAAGTGTTGTTTTATGGCATGCCTGAGGAGCACAGTGATTTAATGTATTTTTACAATTACATGATCATAACAATAAAAGTGGAGTGATTCTAAAGATTATTTATTTATTATAACCTTTAAAACATGTCACACCAGTTTTAAAGTGTTTGCTTCAGGGGGCTGTTTTACAAGCCAGTATGAGAATTGGTCAGGTCCTTGCTTCATGACCCTAAACTGATGTGAAGACTGACTACAGCTGGCTTATGTCCAGATGACCAAAAAGTGCTGCTAGGTTCTTTTACCCACTTCTAAAAACTCATAATGTGCCTCCTACGAAATTACATTCCCTTTCTCTTGACTCTGCCAAACAGAGACCTTTAGTTTCAATGCAACTCCCAGGGAATCATCACACAAAGAGAAAAAAAAGAGACTGAGCAAAAATTAAACAAAACACAGGAAGAAATTAGCTGGATGTCAATGATTAAGCATGTTTTGTCAACTTGAATAGGGTAAGCAATCATGACACCATATGGGTAAAAGAATGAATCTAGTAGTAGAGCAATTAATATTTTAGTGGCACTAATTTACATATTTTCAAGAATACAATTTTTAAATCTTCAACAATTTCAGCTGGAATTCTTTTATTTCATAGTTTAGGATGAATAAAATTCAATTTGTTCTTTGCACTACTACAATGTGTATTCAGTCAGAAACATTTAATTTGTTCTATAACATGAAGTAGTTAATTAAAAGTAGTCTTTTTTAATACTAACTAAACCTGAACAAAATCAGCAACAGACATACTGATATCCCTACCCTGCGGATGCGTAACTCCTCAACGGCTTCAAGAAGACTTGTTTTACATTCTAACATATGGACAGAAATGATTGCATCTGCCGACTCCTGAAGGCTGAATGGTGATGAAGTCTCAGCCTTCAAATAGTCTGATTCTGTCTTGTGGTCCTTCTCCTAAAATAAAAACATTTCTTATACTTGCATTATAATTAAACCCACTCAAAACATGCAATAGAGGGTAAACTATAGAATAAAATAAAAATAAATAAAACTGCCAATAAATAAAAATGCAGTATCTTAGGCAGTCACAAAATATATATTTAACTGAAACTTTCAATGCTCATAAATCTTAACAAATGTTAAAAATTGGTTTTAAAAAAATAATATCAAATATAAAATATGTCAAGTACAAATATTTTTAATTAAGTGCATTAGAGTTTTTAGTGGATCACCTGAGCCAGAGATAAGCCATTTCCAGAAACCTTATGGAACTCCACTGAGTCCCTTTTGAATGATTCTGAGTCTTTTTGGCCCAAAATTACCTCACGGTGTTCTTTACAATCAGATGCAATGACTTCTGAGGGTGTCCCTGACATTTTTTAAGACAGCTGCATGAAAGAATTTCAGGATTATTCTTTTCAAAAACACCTTTTTTCAGGTCATACTTTTAAAATAAACGTAAATAGCTTAATTGTTTTTGATTACTTTCACTGTTTACTTGCTCTATTCACTTACAGCACATGTGATAATGTAGACAAAGAGGTTGTCAATAAACAATTAAAGTAAGCACTCAGATCCACATCACACAAAAAGTAGTTCTATTGTTTACAATAAAATACAGTAGAACTCTTCTTACTGAAATCTTTATTGAAATAATTACACATGAATTACTGAATTCATGTGTAATTGTTTAATAAAAATTGAAAATTGTCTTACACAATCCTTTTGGCGACATTAATATTTTAATATACTTTGAAAGTTACATCTTAAATTCCTCAAGGTGGAAAGGAGGCTGGCCTTTGAGTCTAATGGGGGTCAGAGTAATAACACAGAATGGACAAATTGCACTGTCATTCTGCTTAAATTATATAAGTTATTTAATTTGACCTGTAGATAGTCTCTTGTCTCCTCATCATGCCTGACTTTTAAGTGGGAGGTCTTCACTCAAGATGATCCTTTAATAGAAGGGAACCTTTCTCCATTTAACCCATGCTGTTATCAATCATGTACAGGAATAAATGATCCTGTTAGAATTTGCTACTATCACAAATGACATTGTGACCTGAGGCCAATGTCTTTATTTGCTTCTCCAGTGATTCACTTCAGCAGGTATTAAACAATTTTATAATCCATGAAAGGCAAAATTAAAAGGACACCATCCATAAAACTGAATAATTTCTATCAGCAACATGATGTCTGTATTACCTTTATGAATTATAAGGCTGTATAGTGCAGTAATGTAATGAAGGCAAAAATTGCAATAGTCAAGTACCCTGGGCTAACAATAATATGCATTTAATCACATTTCTGAAAACTACATATCACAACAGTTGATTGTAAATACGTATAACATAACAATCTGAGACAAGGAATGGGGTTTTATAAAGGCACTGACAAACACTCAGTTAAAGTTTACGAGAAACAACAGTTACTTCTAAAATAATCTTAATTTCAAATGATATATCAAACTTTTAATAAAAACAATTTTAATGAGGTTCATTTCTAAAACAAAAATCAAGCAATGCATTTTTTACACTCTTGTGCACTTTATTTGCACCGCTACAAATAAAATCCAACAAATGACTAGATTAATACATCTAAAACAAATGCCTCCATAAAATGTTAATTATGTATAAAATAACTTTGTGAAATGATCCCAAAATTGATATTTGATATGGTTGTAAAACAAATTTAAAGGATTTGATGGGGGGTTTTAATGTTAACACTTTAAAATTAAGACTGGCCAAAGCTAATTTATGATATCTTGTGACCTACAAAATTAGGATTTTAAGTAAATGATAAAAAGTAAAGGTTTTGTTTGAACCTTTATTTGTGAGCAATTAAGTCCCACACTGTATGAGATAGTGTTGAGACACAGACTAAGCACTAAGTCACTTGTCACAATCAAATGTTTTTAAAGAAATTAATTAATCTGTTACTTCAGAGTTACCCTGATACAGACTTGTAAAGCAAATAGTTCAATATTTTTATATATACAACAAGAATTACAATAATGCTGAGGCGTACCTAGACCATTTTAAAAAATCTCAATATTTAAACACTCGGTGTAAGAATATGTCAGAGATTATACATGTATATTCCACGTTAACTATCCAATCGTCCGAAACAGTGAACGGGAAATTTCTCAAGGCTTATTTTAACACGAATGTGTTTTGGTGCCATCTAGCGATCTACAATATATTCCTGCTTAAATTACATTCATTCGCTGGAACTGAGACAACGTTACGAGTTCGTCTTCAAAACCAACCGATTTCAAAGTGAGTCTTTCACGTTCTCTTAAATCTGAGAAGTGCCAAAGCCAAAATGTCATAAAGTAGTTTAGAATAGGCAGAATGGTCATGTCACTTAACGTTTCAAGGAAATAGTTAATACCAATTTTATCTAAACAAGCAAATGCTTCATGAAAGCTCAGCCTTCGCAGTCTCCCCTTTTGTGTTATTCGTTCTAGCAGCATTTACAGGAACTCAAACGGTAACAAAATATTGGGGGGTTACCATATCTACAAACATTACAGTGGCCACCCCCCCCCAAAAAAAAAGCAGAAATGGGACTGTATGGTTGATACAGTACGTCTGCATCCCAAAGAAAAGTCAGGAAACTAAACCCCGAGGAGATGAGAGTTCGCCTTACTGTACTGGCGGCGTCCTGGGCGCTTTTCCGTCCGGTCCCGTCCTCCGGCTCGAGCCACCTGCCGGCACGCGGTTGCAGCGGCCCTGTCACCTGATCAGAGACCGGCGTCTGTGGCGACACTGATAACCCAGCTGCTGAACTGATACTTAAAATGCTCTTTTCCATGATATAAGCGCTCTTGCCAGAACAAAAACACAATTATTTTTTTTTAATTCGTGCCATTTTCCCTCTTTTATCCAGATCGTCCATTGATGCCGAAAAAATGCTTGATGGCCGTTGTTGTCTCAATAAGTCTTAAGGTCAAATGTCCCTTCAGGAGTTAAAATATTTCTTTGTGTCTGTTTTGTTTGAATCAAGAAATGTGTAAAAAAGGAAAACAGTAAAAAAAAATAAATAGGGAACAAACATTTAGGATTGCACTTTAAATAAATTGTGATATTTGGGGACTTATCGAAGACTTACTTTTTTTTATTCTAGTATTCCATTTCAACATTATTCTAAAATTGATTTTTTTCTATCCAGGATCTGGAGTAATCGCTTGTCATAAAGTCTGACAAGATCTGACAAATGACAGGCTGTATTCATCAGACATCGAGGATATAACAGGGGCGTATAGGACAAGATAACCAGCATTAAAAAAGAGAACTTCTTTTGCTATGATGTTGCTATGAAGTCAGCGCTTTTGGGTTCTGCGTTTGATTCTGGTTGGATTGGAGCAACATCTATGTAGAATCTACATTTTCTTTGTGTGGATTTTGGCCTGGGGTTCTGTCTTTAGGAATGCAAGCGTGGTTAACTTTTAAATTGTGTTTGGCATCCTGAATTGCGCCCTATACTTCCTCCATAGACTTCCTCCTGTGACCCTTACCTGGAGTGAGCGGCCTGTTATTAACGTATAGATAGCTGTATGTTTACGTTTAGTGCTGCCACCCAGTGCTTAAACAGTGTACGCAAAATTAAACAGCGTTGAAGTAAATTGTATCTTATTGTATCCTATGCACGCAACTATTTTAGCCCGTTCGCAGATGTATAATACACTACAACAACAAACCTTGATTATTTAAACTTACTCGAATACTTGTTTATTTTTTCATCTTACTCTAGATTAAAAAAATAAAAATATTATTAAAATCTGTATAAATATTTTTGCTTTCCACTTGTTTGAGAGCAAAACACAATTATTTGCTGAAACTAAAAAAAACTATTTTAAACGTACATTTAAACAATACATTTTATGTTGTATTTCTGACGTCATGTAAGACTTATTCGTAAGCTGCTGGTTTTCCCCAAAATACAACTCTAATTTTACACCTTTGTCTTACACATCTCGGTATGTGAAGACGCAAATAACTAGTCTATAAATAATTAAACGGTTTTTATGATGAGGAAATAATTCCTCGATTTCTACTTTCATTTGTGCTCATGAACGATGTATCCAGGTAAACACTGCTGCTATTCAGGTCTGCGCAGGTACTGAGCTACGTAGTAAGAAACAGGAGGTGAGGTCATAATAACTAAAGGGACATTGAAACGAATGGTTTCTATACGATATAGAAACTAGAAGGCGAGCTATTTTAACGTGTTTTGTTTAGAATCTGTGTTTTGTTTTTTGTTTAAATCTTTTTTTTCTTTAATTTATTTTGATAATGTAACGTACGCACGCTTGGCGGTTGATTGTAACGATTACGTTTTATCCAGTCGGTTTAGTTTCGATGAGGTTGTACGGTATCCCCTTGTTTTCAGTGTGAACTAGTTAAAATAGTATATAACCTCTCCAGGACGAGCAGACTGAAGTGGATGGGTGGATGAGCTAGAAAGAATGAAACTTTTACGGATAGTTCACCGATAAACATTTTTAAAGCGTTTTAGAGGTCCTGGTTTTGTCACGAAGTTTCTTTTGCCCTTTCAAATTGAAGGTAATTGATTATTATCTTAAGCCTGCTATTACTATTGTGTTTTTCATGGGTTAGAAGGAAACCCTTTTCCGTTTCTACGTATTGGAAATTCATTTTTCTAAATGTTGTCTTCTGTGTGTATAAAGTGAATTTTAATGTGTTACAGGTGTACAGAAATGCTTTTCCGTATATTTCTTCTATACCAACTTGTCTCGTACGGATTAAGTAGATGTACAAGAAAGTTATTACATATGAAAAACACAGAACAGGAATCCAACAATGGTAAGTAACAAGTTGGGTTTTTTTTGCCCTTGGCTTAGCAATTTGAGTTTTATTGTATGAATCAATGAATCAAATAGACTAAATAGTTACTTCAGTATAGTTCTATTCTGATATGTATTACATTATTCACCGTAAAATTAAAACACAAAAGCCTCTCAGTAAGAGTCTCAGTAAGATTTTTTTTAGATTTCCTAATTACTTTCCATTGTCGGATGACTAAATTAATAAACTAAAGGTAACTTTCCAACTCTACTTATTTGATATTTGATATTTCATAATTGCTATTTTGAAACATTTTGTTGAATAGAATCAAACTGATGAACCTCCACTTTAACGCCTGTAAATGCCAACACTTCATTCGATTTTTCTACTAACATGGACTCATACTTTTATTGCTTTTATTACCGTGTCATAATTGTAATACATGCTTAAGTGCCTACGTGTCCTTCAATAGAAGGAAATGTTGTGTGATCATATGTATAGAAATGTCCTTATATCCTTAAATCCCAAATTTATTTTGATAACATTTCTGATTGCACAATGTTTGGAAAATGTGGTCAATGTACATTAAAATGGGTTGGACATATATTTTTGGTAGTGTTTTTTAATTTACACTATAGGTTTATAGTGTATACAAAAGTCGTGTCTATTGCTTGATATAAGAACGTCAGAATGTACAAGTGGTCTCTGGTTGCTAGTAGCTAATCGATCCAGGGATCTCGTCCAGTTCTTCCGGAGTATCATCTTGACACAGTTGGGTAGCGCGGTGATCTTTTGTCAATATAATAAACAGTATAACATTGTTTTGCGTATTTGCCGTTGGTCTGCAACGAAAGGTAGGTCTATGTCGTGGAAGGTGTGTGGCTTTCGCGGAAAGCGCGAACTTGAGTTGTCGGAAATGATTTGTGGATGAACTCGTTTGGTTTCAGTTTTTGCGAACGAAGACGAGGCAAACGCGTTCTTGGGGCGCCACCTGTTGTTCAACCGCTTTGATTTCGAGCTATTTACTCCGGGGAATCTGGAAAGGGAGTGCTATGAAGAGCTCTGCAACTTTGAAGAGGCACGAGAAGTCTTTGAAGATACTGCAAAAACAGTTGAGTATTCAGTGCTTAAAGTTTGGTTAAGACTATTTGTTGTCCCATACCGCTGTAAAAGCAACTGAAGCTTAGAACCATGACACAAGTTCAAATAAATAGATAATGGAAAGGGGGAGATTTATTCATGTTTGGAGGCTTTTCTCTTCTGTAAAAATCTTTTTGTAGTTAATTGTAAGCAAAGCTTTGAATCTGAGTGAAATAGTCGATTCCTATTTTGTCTTTGGTTTCTCTCATTACAAATAAAAACACTTAAGTAAAATATACAGCATACTATTCATCAACTAACATAAAAGAAGAACAAAACATCAGGCATGAAAAAGCATACATTCACAGATAAAGTCAAACTGGTCATAATGCAAATACCTGGTACAAACAAATAAACTATCATTAATTACTTGCACCCAGTACTTGTATGGATTATGGGATAAAGGACATAATATACACATTTCTAACAGCTCTAGGAACCCTGAAATCACAGATGGAAACAACACAAACTGGGAATTCAGGGTTTGGGAGGCATCTTTAATTATATTTTTGCCACCCTGTGCACTGCACTGTCAAAAATGTCCCCCAGTTGTTTTCATTATAATGATTGTATATTCTAATAAATAAATGTAGACGACATAATATGTGCCTTTTTATTTTTATATAATATCTGGCTTTCCAAAAGAATCACGGAGCCCTTTTATCCTATTTTGCAGGAAGTTTTCTGGAAACTGTACATAAAAGGACAACTAGGTAAGAGCCAAGTCTGTATGGAGTGCAGAGTAAGCCAATTCAAGTCTGTGATCGTGATTTAAATGAAGAGAAACTGTATGTTGACTAATAGGATAAACTGTAAACCGCATGTTTTAATAAGAACTATTTGCTTTTGATGTTGAAGATGTGGGCTCTTATGTTTGTTCCTGTGTACACTGGTGTTGTCTGTTTAACTTGGAATTACATGGCGAATATAGCGATTTAAAACGTCTTCCCTACCAGGGTGAAAAGCCGTATTCCATCAACTTGGTCTTGGGGTGCTTTAGGGGTTTGTGGATGGGGAGAAGAGGTTAACGTTTTAAATAAGATAGTTCTTTAGTCAAAGATGTTTAATAGAAAGTATTCGGATCCCCTACACAACTGATAAAAAAACTACCGTTTGCACGCAGGAGACTCGAACGCTCAGAAGGTGGACGTCACTGCTCTTCTAACAGGCCTCATTGCTGCTGGAGTCTCTCTAGTCATCATTGGGCTGCTTTTTTGGTACTTCTGTCACAGGAGGTGCAAGCCCAACAGCCCCCCCGGGTAAGGACCTTAACATTCATCATTTCATTATCGGAACCTAATCTTTCCAGTGACTCAGAGTTAAAATGTTGTTTCTCCCGTTCAGTCACAATAATCATATGTCCTGTGTGGTCTTTGCATGACAAGAAACCCCTTTATCTTAAACTGGGCTTTCAGATTAGTTTGCTTCCTCTAAGAGTTGGTTCTCTCAGACTCGCCACTGTAACCTGTTTGACTGCAGCTCTTCTAGGGGCCACGCCAGTCGAAGCAACGCGTCCCTGATTATGAGGAGACTAGAAGAGACATCTCTGCAGCCTGTACTTCCCCCTGCTGGGGAGCCATGTCCAGGCCTACCTTCCTATGAACAGGCCATTGCCAAACCCGGACAGCACGATGCACCCCCTCCGCCGTACCCAGGGTAGGTGTACAAGACACCCTCTTTGCACCAGGCATCTCCAGGGCAGTGGGTTTCATAGGTTACCCTTTAAATCATCACTGTCTAGACTGGGGCGACAGTTTTCATGTAAACGATGAAACAGGTGACTTGTTCAATCTGTCCAAATTTAGAGGTCATTTTAAATGGTAATCCCCAAAATCCAGTGTTTCCTTAATTGAACAAATGTCTCTATCAATTTGACAACTGAGCAAAAAAAAAATCCCAAGCATTCCTGGTGTGGGATTTATCTTTCAAGCGAGCTGCAACTGTACACCAGTCTTTAGAAAATGGTTATTTAGGGTTCAAACATATTGCACAATTTCCAGGATCAAGAGTGGAGATGCCTGATTTAAATTATTCATCCCGCAGATCTTCACACAATGTTATCAGCTCTTTGCATAAGAACAGCAGTGTGTTTTCTATGTGTATTGGAGTCCACTGCAGTATACTGGAGTCCTGCATGGAGATGCAACGTCTCTTTTGGAAGTATCTAATGCAAGCCCACACTATTAACAAAAAGTCCAGATGGCTGCACTGATCCAGCCATTCCTAATTACTGAGAGAACTTTGGTTAATTTAAATACACGGAAATTAATTTTTTGCAGTGATAATTTATTATTGACATTGATCAAATAAAACAATTTAAAACATATCATGAAATCAGCACATCCATTTCTTATTTAGCTTAAAAAAAATCCAATTTGGAATCTTTACCAATAATCATGTTTACCAATAAAATTCAACATACTAGTTTATACTAATGTTTGTGTTTTCATTCTTCTTTTTTAACACCATTGCCACCCCATAGAACTGATAAAGAATATCAAGTTTCTGAAGATTTTAATTCAGTGTGGTTTTTTTCTTCTGTCTTTAGATCCCGTACAGCAAGCATACAACGATAAAATCAGGAATGGCCTTTTGAATTTTTGGAATTTTTCAGTCTTCCATATATTTTTCTCACCGATTATTCACTATAAGAATGAATACGTTATATCTTGTTCTTGAAGTCTTCAGTGTTCTAAAAGTTTTTGTTTATCATTTAAATAAAGCTCAAATGGCACTTTCAAGCTATAGATGACTCTGTGGGATCCTTTAAGGAAGGTACAGATCAGGCTGCTAGTATCCAAACAGCCCAGATGCACTGAAATGCTTTCTTTTGTTTGTAACCTTGCTTTTTGTTCATACAGTATATTCTTAGTTGGACAGTACTTGTTAATTAAATATAACCAGGACTTACAAAATGCAGTGCCTGCATTTCTCTGCTAATTATGTAAATATGTAACTAAGATTTTTATTTTATACTGGTGACATTGCACTGAGATTCAGGTTTATGGTTGACTTGATTGTTGTTTTAGGATAGATAGTCAAGGAGGGATACCTTTGGCTGTGTTTGGTTTAATTATTGGTAATTGACACATTTGAACTTTGTACTGTAGCTTAAGGATATGTTTCATTGTAAAAAGATATAGTAGCATTCAGGAAATCCACAAATGTGTTTGGAAGTAATGTTGTTACTTTAGATTACAGCTTTCAGAACCACTTTCTCTGTGGTATTTACCACCTGTGTTGACAACTGCTGGTATTATCTGAAAGCTATGTTAAGACAGGGTTGTTGAATAGTGTAAAGCAGGTTTTACTTCACAAAACAAAATATGATATTTAATGTTTACAGTATCAAAATAGGAATATGTGAAACATGAATATTTCTTTATTGTTGACATTTTTAACTTTTTTTTTAAGAAAACATTGATATGATTCGTACTTTGTGACTCAGACTAGATTAAATCACACATAAATCATTACTTTGTGACAGATAAAAATCCAAGTAGTCATTTAGTGGAAAAATGCAAGAGTACATACTAAGGGTTTTGTTTTTTACTTTCCTGTCATTATCATCAAAGCAGTCTAATGAGTTGTTTATTATTAGAGGCAGTAGTTTATTACCCAGAACAGAAAATGAATTATATTTGGGCTACCTTCATCTCTAAAAAAAGGGATATTTTAATGACTACAGAAAAAATAATTAGATTAATAAAGTAAATAGATGATAAAATAGTATACCATCTTGAACAGCATATTGTGCTATAATTATACTGTATGAACATTCTATGAGGTTTGTGAACCTGCTTGATGCTTATTATGTTATTGGATGTACTTATTTAAGAAAAATAAAAACCTTAAGAAAAATGCATTTTTTGGAATGGAATATAAAACAATAGAGTGGTGTTTATGTACAAAGTTGTTTTCTCTCTGTTTCCTCTTGAAAAAGTAGTGCAAAATTGAAATTCAGATGGAGGATTTGTAAATGATTTCTTCTTTTGAAGTGATGTTAAGTGTCTTTTTATATTTAAAGTGTGTCCTTTTATAGTGATTTTACAAAAACATATATTTTGGTAAAAGAGCTACACATGGTATTTTAAATAAATAATTCTATCCTGGCATTCTGTCATGTATGATTTTAATTACATTCTCCACAATCCCCAACTAATTTAATCAAATTGTACAGCACCTAGCAGTTATGCTGAATTTTGATCAAGTATGATTAACATGACCTTAATGAATATAAATGAAAAATTACCAAGATTAAGAAGAACTACATTAATTCGTATTCAATATACAGTAAATGTTAAACATAAGGTAATTGCTTGCAAAACTTAAAATGTTTTAAATCGAAACTAAACCACAATAGAAAACATTATTCTCGACTTGCGTTGCAATGGTGTAGGGTGCACAGTGTGGACCATTTACAGCATAGCATTGAGAAAGCACAATTGTGTTACACAGTGCAATGATCATTATAGAATTATCTGATGCCCCTTGACTCCAATTACCAAGACTATCAGTATTTCGCAAAAGGTAAATCTAGATTATGTACTGAACAGACGTTCAAATAATGCAAATATGCTTGCCTTTGCCAGCAACCTGGTATTCAAAAAAGGATAGAATGCAAATTCTATTGTTAAATCATAGCTTAAAAACAGTCATACAAAAATGTCTGATGAGGAGAGTCTCCTTGATCAGCTCCAGTAGAGCTCTTTACAGGTACAGTATTTCCCTCGCATCACTAAATCGATATCTTGGTATTTTAATAACTTGAGTCTCACGGTCACCACTCATGCCAATGCAAAATGTTGAAATTATATTTCTTTATTAATTAACTGGAAACAAAATTCCAAAATAAGTGTTAGACTTCAGATTTTTTAAAATATTGCTCCAATCGGTCGTTTTTAATCGTCCAAGAATCCGTCGTCAGCTGGTTTAAATAAAAGGTTGTTACTTTCATGATGCAGTACTTGCCGAAAGAGGTCAGTATTTAGCATTCTCTTCGCCTTGCTACGCTCGCTTGTACGGAAAGGTCAGTGTGGTTTTATGCATGAATCAAATAGGAGTTATCACTTTATAGTTCGGTGGTATCAGTTCGGTTTGAGGTTTCGGAACCAGTCCTTGTATTCGGTTTGCATGTTCTCTACGGGTCCTTGTGCGATTTCTCCGAGTCCTGCCTGGAGCGCTCTACTTTTAGTCCAGAAAAGGCTCAGGGTTATTACAACGCTCACCAGGAATAAATAGCTTTCTAAAAAAAACACTTCTAGCTGAACATTTTTTAATGAAGGAGTAGCATGATTCACCGAGATTCAAACAATTGAAAAGTAAAGGCAAAACAGAAAGAACAACGTTTTAACCACTCTAGTAACTGTAATAAACTGTGAAAAACGATTGCACATGAACTTGGCAAGGGTTAAAGTAAAATGATCTCTCTGGCGGAATACTGTATCATAAAATTCTGAGTAATGATAAAGATCACTTCACATTGCCCAATGACATTATTTCTTTTTCTTGACACAAACTTTTACAGAGTGTGGGACAAGCTACTGCCATATTATTGAAGCCATTAGCCTTCTTGCAAAAAGTACCTGGATGAGGTCCTCAGTACAACTAGATATTACCTACCAATTTAACTGTCCATCCATTTTCTTACTGCCTTATCCTATACCGTGCTGCGGGGGAGCTGGAGCTGATCCCAGCATGCAAGGGGAAAGGACAGGCTCCGTCCTGCATGGGACACCAGTCCATTGCAGGGCAGACAAGGATGCAAACACACACGCTCACACCTGGGCAACTTTTCCCAGAAGCCAATTCATGTACTGTACCAGTATCTCTTTGGACTGTGGGAGGAAACCCATGCAAACATGGGAAAAGCAACAGACTCCATGCAGATAGCAAACCAAGTCTGGAATTGAAACCAGGCCCCCAGTGCTGCAAGGCAGAAATGCTAACCACAGCACTACCCTACCAAATTGAATTAAATAGACCCAATGTCCTCGTTGGTATTGCAACCTTATTTATTCTCTGAATTATTTCATTTATGTTTGTTCAGAGATGGATCATATAATGTCAAGAGAATGACAGAGAGTATATTAAACATATTCATAAATATTAATGTTATATTAACTAAATTAGTCATGTGTAAGATTTGCTGCACACATTTTGTACTATATATTTAAAGGGATATATTTAGCTAAATTGAATGATTTCACAGATGTAATTTTCGAATCGTTTAGGAGAATACTGTACTTTTTGTAGTTTCAAACTCAGAAGTTACGAAGCTGTTTATTTAAAAACAAAACATGCATAACATGATTTAGAATTCTATAATATGAAATAGAATTTCATACAAATTGAACTTGGTGCGACAGCTGTCTAAATATGTATGAAAACACTTTTCTGATAGAAACAATTAGTTATTTATCAAAATTACTGTACGGCCTTAAATATCACGTCTGTGCCCTGACTAAGGTCCGCGATGAGCAATCATTTGATCCCACTGCTCATCTTCTCACAGAATAGTGATTGAGAAAGTGCCTCCTTGATTTATCCTGTATGTAAGCATGAAAACATGAAATCAATGAAATGCATTTTCCCAGAGGTAAATTAAACATGCAAGTTGGTCTTAAAGATCAAAGACCCAATCAAAGCTAATCATGCTGCATAAAAAGTGAATGTGTTCAGTTTAGCACAGTAATTAGAATATGAATCACAGTTCTATTCTATGCAAATTTGTGACTTCCACTCCAGATGGCACAGGGAAATGCACCTGGGATATTAAACAAATTATCCTGAATCTTTAATTGCAACACCATACATATATTCAACAAATAAACTCATTAACGCTCAAGGACAACAATTCAATTAAAACTGGCACAGATATAATGATTAGTTTTAACTAAATGTGTGGGTACATTAGATTGCGTATTTGTTTTTGGTTAGTTGAATAATATATGTGAATTTAAAAAAGAGTATAATAATTTGTATCTCAATTTTAGGTGCAGAAAATCATTTAAGGTTACAGATACATCTTTCATATCTTTGTATTTTCTAAAGCTTGCTTTAGAAGCCTTTTAATGACTGCGTCTAATGGCTTCTAATGATTACTTAAGCCTTTGACCTGTGTACAGTGTAGTATTAACATTTATTTTAAAAAATAACAATCTAGTTTGTATTTCCACTGAACTGTTAATAATGCAAAGTATGAGGAATCACAAACAGGGAATCTGGGGCTTATTTGCCTAATTATATTTGGAAGAAAAAAATACATAAGCAATTTTAAGCTTTCCAAATCACTGTAAGCATACATTGTTTTATAATGTCAATTGAAACTGTTCTGGAAGTTCATATTTGCCAGTTCTCAGAGTTGCTTTCAGTTACATTTCTAAGATCTGGCCTCAAATATCTGGTTGCAACTGAGTCTTACATCAACAACCTGCTATCAAAGTGAGTCTCTGTCAATTGGAATTTCATATTATAATATGAAAATTATATAAATATGACTGAAAATATTACAATACTATAACGTTACAAATGCATGTATTACAATGATATTAGTCATTGTAAGACACTTTTTTGACATGCAAAAATTTAACCCAGAATGGTGGCTTGAGTCTTGAGTATTGCTTGGAGTCATTAGGAGATTTGGGTCTGGTATGAAAATGTAACATTTCATCTGGAGTGTACTCAGCTCTGTAAATTCAATTGTGCTTTACGTTTTATAATCTAATATTAAACTTACGCTGTATGTGCACATGATTTTCTATTATGCACCCTATTTTGTAAACAACAAATTACGATGACACAAATGAAGATCACCATTGCATTTTATTTTGTAGCCATACGTGTTTATGAACACAGTGAGAACCCTGCTACTTGATGTGTTAAAACCTTAATAAAAAGCTGTGTTTTTACATCATTTTACACAAAGACTGACATGGCAAAGAATGCTTCTGTCTTGGCCTTTACAGAAAGTAAAAAATAAACATGTATGACATGAAAAATAAGTCACACTTTAATTATTTTGGTTCATTGTATCCCCCAGCAGTGAGCTTGTTAAATTCATTTATATCGTCTACATATGACAACTGACTTGAACCATTGCAATTTTCTTTGGGGAGGAATACATATAATTGTCTAAAGTACATGTAAAATTCGTGTCTTCCTTTTCCTATTTGTTACACAACTTCACACAGCTCCGAAGAATTACCTGCCTCTCCCTTAAGTTCAATGACAGATAAAGATTGTAACTTGCTTGCAACCCAGCTGGTAGGAGGTGCATCCTGGGAAATAAACCAACATGGGGATCAGATCCAAGTAGCACCATGCAGTTCTAACATCATGACTGAGTGAGAGACAGGAACAATAATAATCATCATACAATAATCTGATCTATCAAGAGTCACTGTGTGGATTCCCCCCTGTGCCATCGCTTAGCGAGTCTGCGTTTCCCGATCTATACTCCGAGACAATGTGATTGTTTCTGGCTGGCCCTGTGCTTGTATGTGTGCGTGCTTTAGAAAGCTCTACGGGGGAAGTGCATCACTCCCAATCTTCTCCGGATGATGGACAGGAACTACCCGACTTCCAGCTTTACAGACCCGCTGGCTTCACCAGCACAGACCGCAGCTTGGGCCTACGAGCGCAGCACCGCAAGCATCAAGCCTAGGTAAGAGGAGAAGGGGAGGGCGGCTCATCTTAAAAAGAAAATCCCGGTGATGTAAGGCCTAGCGCAACAAAATGTCGAGTTTTTTTTAAGTTTGCGTGCCGTCTTATATAGGACACCGAGTTAAAAAATATCGTCTTTCGTGCAATCACTCACTGTACCGAGTTAGGCATCTGTTTGCAAATGGAAATGGTGGACTTTGGGGAAATCGCTGCGCTACATTGTGACACTTATTACAATGTTGAAACTTAATTGCCATTAAACAGAAAGGAATATTTGTATTTAGATACGCTCACCATTGAAGTTCTGTGAATTGTGAAAATTATGAACTGTGCATTTGATCCGATCAAAACGAATAAACATTAGTCTGTGTCTTTCATGTGTATACGAAGAGTAAGGTTTTTTTTTCCACAAGTTGACACAGCTTTTTTTCTTCATTTCAAAAACATTAGTTCTAACCTGAAACAGACAACGTGTAGCACACGAGAGTGTTTAGTACCGCACTGCTTATTGTCAACAAATGGATACATAAAATAATCAGATGTATTTAATTTGTTTCTGGGAACTTTGGCGGATTTGATTGTGTAGTTAACCACTGGACTGAGTGTATATATAAAAACTCGTCCATATCCAATAATATGATTACGTATTAGGAATTTTGTTTGTTGAAATAACTATTTTTACTAAATTAAGAGTAACACGTAGCAAAAGAGGTCCTCCGTGGAGGCGTGGCCTTGTTTGTCAACATAAAAGGCTGCATTGTTTGGAAATTAAAAATTGCAGTACAGATCATACACATTGATTTTTATTATCTGCGATAACAGTGACCTTGCTTGTCCCGTTTTCTGAGAAAAGAATACCCTTGGTTTGCTATTTTAGGAAGAAACCCATTTGAAGTCAGTTAATGTTGTCATTTTTTGTTGTTGTTGATGTTGTTGTATCAGTTTTTAACGGAGCGGTGTCGTGCTATATTCCTTCATGGCCCATTATGGAGAAGTCATGTAGACGTGCAGAATTAGAAAAAGGAGTTGCCCTGAAGAGATGGGGAAAAAACATGACACGATTTTGCTTTGCTCTTATTAAAGTGTCATCCACATATAGCAAACGTTTAAATATACCAGGGTACAGTGATAGGCTAAGCAATAGTATTAATGATGACAATGACTTTTGTGTTTGTTCCGAATTAACAAAAACTGAAAACGCTCTTAAACGCGCATCTTCACAGATTAAATCCACTGTATATTATTTTACCTGGAAAATAAAAATAGTTGCATCATTCTGTTTTGAAGCTGCAGTCATGTGGGGAGTCCTATGGTTCTTCTTTGCCTGATTTGGAAAATTATGTTTGTAGCTAAAAATCGGACCCTCAAGATTTTACTACATTGTAACAAAGTAACTACAGCACTTTCACAAAGCCCAGCTTTAGAAACAGTACAATCCTAAACTGTTTTCACATAAAGTGAAAATAAAATCTAAAATAGCAGGTCTGTGTATATGAATTGTACTTGCCCAATATTTCCTGAACTGAATGCAGTCTGCAAACATTTCTGTATCATAATACAGACCACATTTTAATTAATTAGGCTATATCCTTTTGTTTCCTGATAAAAATCATGATTTGTATGCTCAATGTTAATGTGGAACATTTGAGTAAACATTCATTGTTCAGCTTGATATATCCAAACATTTCTGTGGAATGGAAGAGCAGTCAACAAGACTCATCTTGCAGACATGCTATAACCAGGTTGATATGTTTCAAGGGTTAAGTCTAACACAGGAGTAGCTAAAATCTCAAAAGTGCTGAGTTGCAGAGGTAACTCAGTATAGTTAATCTAGTGAACATGTACCTGGAACAAAATGCAAAGAAATAAAGTCAAGTCCTTGTTGTGTCATGACTAGCAGGGCCTCACCAGCCCTGACACCAGCTGGGAAATAAGTAAATCAACATAAAAACGTAATAAATAGCATGAATACCTTTCTCACTTAAAGTGTCACAACACCAGACTGGACTTCTGCAGCGGGGATTCTAATATTATTTCAGTAATTTTCAAAATCGAACGGAAATTTCACATCGGATTCCTTTTGGTTGAAATAAGGATTGCAAAGAGGGTCATGGGCTCTGAATACAGTACATGAAGTACATCATTAGATGGATTTTATTTCAAAAACTGCATTAAAAGTGTAATGTATGTTCGCTGGGAAAAGGGAAGGGTAATTATGCTCACAGCTATTCTTCTCTATTGCTGGTTTAAGTGCATAAGACTCTTAAAAAAAAAAAAGCAAAGATTATAGCTCAAATGTAAATTTTGGCGCCACCACTGTGCTTTGTTCTGTACTCTGTGTCTACAGTAGGTTCAACACGTGCATGAGGGCTGTGTTTTCTTGTCTACTGATATTTGATCAGGTTCTTTAAAGCACTTTCCAGTATCTGCTCCGAGTCAGCACTGGGGGGGGAAGAGAGAGAAGGAAAAGGTTTCAGTCCTGCTGTTTCCTGAATATGAATGTCAGTGCACATACTGTATCTGGAGGCAATCGCCACAATTTGTCTGCCTTTGTTTATAGGTTGTTTTCAGTGCACATCCTCCTTGACATGATAAGGTCACTTCAAATATGTCAGTGTGCTGGTTGTGAAGGGATTTAGGTCTTGTCAAATAGTGATACTGTGTACTCTGAGAGGGACTCTTGACCAAAGGCCTTTTTGGTCACATATTTACTGTTCAGCATGCTGGAGGAATTTCAGGGTTTTCCCTAATTTCAGGAACTGCAACAAACTTGGAAAGCTACATTTGCAGTGCACAGGGCATAGAAAAGCGATCGCAATGGCTTAATTACAAACGTGCAAGGATGAATTGTTAAAAGAGGGTGAGATACCACAGCTTTTCACGTAACAGAATGAATGAGTAAATGCTAGGTTCAGAAGAGGAAGGAATGTGTACAGTAAAAGTAAATATTTTATGTAAAAAAATAATTCAGAAGCACATCTGCTAAAACTGTATTTTTTGTGTAACAATATAACGTTGATGCACATTTGAAGATGTATCAAGTAAGGACGCGCCACAATTTTTGTTTGATTTTTTTACTGCTCACTGTTATTGTTCACTGGTTTAGGAATGTATAATGTAACTTCAGAGCCTTAGCATAGGTAAAGTGTGCTTGTGATTCCGAATTTCAGGAAAAGTATGCATTTTCTTGAAAGCAAAGCATTGACGACAGTGATTACAGGTCCTGTTCATATCTTGAGTCACTGATCACATGAGCGAAAGAAAAATCTGAGCCTTTTCCCAAGCTTTAATATGATCATATTCAGTCAACCTTCAAATACAACATAAAATATCATTGAGTTATGGAGTGGTTCGTGACAACCTTATGAAATACACAAAACAGACACTCTTGTGATTTGCTTTTGCAAATTGTTTCAAGTGATGTAATTTTTCACTGGTGGATTGATCTAAGTAACAAAAGAATGTACCAAATTAATATTGCAAAGGAGACGCCTTATTCTTCTAGTGCTGCATGTGTTAGTGATGTGCAGACTAGATAGAATTAAAGGATATGATATTCTTTATTCTTCAAGACTGCACTGCACTTACAGAAGTGCACTCGTGTGCACAAAAATAAGATAACTTTTATATTGGCATCAGTATATTTGATGGACTAGATTCTTAATGTTTCTGTGACAAGCAAACACTAGGCAAAACCCTCATTCACATTAATAAGCATCTCTTATTTCACTCTTTACAACATTATGTTTAAAATCATTTTGTTTGAAATGCACTTCAAACAATGTGATTCAGCAGTGTATCATAGATATAGATTCAGGAGAAGAGAGCTGTGGCCTAATGTTTAGTTAGCAAATGGAAAGGACCTTAAAAAGACTGAAAAAAAGAAATGGTTTTATCTTGGAAGTTTTTGCCAGTACAATGAATATTGCACTGCTGCAACAGATGGAAAAATCCAGAAAACCGGTTGTTAGGAAGCTGATTAAAGTATTCTTTAATGATTTAAATTGTGAGAACATATCTGTTGTCTCGTTTGACTTCTGTCTTACTGTGAAAGGTGTTAACAATAATGGCCCATTTAGTATTTACTAACCAAAGTAAAGTTTGCTTTTATAAATGATTATTGTTGAAATGTTGATCGAATTCACAACAAACATGCTACAGGAGTATAAAATTGTGTCTGGAGCATTTTGAAGCCCATATAATTTAATGGCTTGGAGAATTTAATTTGTACTGTGTACCGATAACAGTTAGGAATGATACTGGAAAAAAAATCCTAGAAAAGACACTGTTTTTTGTCTGATCCACAATCTTTTAATGGTTTATTTGCCTTGTGGCTATGATTATTAGACACTAATGGACTCAGCTGAAACGCTCTTTAAGGATATAGTTTATCTTCCAGAAATCACAGTGAGTCAGTGTGTTTTGAAGTACTGATCTTTTTTTTACTGACTGGATGCCTACTTTGAGTTCACAGGCCATGTGTATTTACAGACAACAGCACTAGGTAAGTGTGAGCACAGGCCTCAGATGATGCACATGAAAACATTCACTAAATCAGTCATGTAACTGTTGGAAAAAATTCTAAAGTTTTTTTTTCATTATACAAATCCAGCTTTTGTTTTGTTTTCTAAAATGTGAATAATAAACAAGAATAGGACTTGGCTCGTCATGTGGTTTGTGTAATGTAATTGTTTTCAGAAAGACATGTTTCTACTGGTGCACAAAGCTTTCCTAGTATCCTTTACTTGCTGGATTAAATAAACATTTTATTGCCTTGTCTAAACCTTTTTTAGGTATTACATCTAAAAAACATTGGTGCTTTTAATGCCTCAGAACATGTGACCTTTTGGGAAATTGACTTCCTCTTCAGATTTAACAAATCTATATTAATATTAACTGGAACTTGGTCTGCTTAAGAAAAAAAAAACCTTTTCGGTTTCACATGAGTGCTGGGAACAGGTTGGTTCTTCAAAAATTCATATGATAAAGGTCACTTCTTGACCTCCCTAAAATGACAAAACAATCATAAGAGCCCTTAGTGTACTGGGACTTAAATAGTTGTACTTTATTTTTTATCTGCCCAAGTTCAGTTGTTTATAATACAACATAACAGAACCATACTCATAACGTTATGTATCATACAATATCTTGAATTCATTTGTTTTTTTGAAGGTATCTTTCTGCACATTGGATACTATGTTGTAACTCTAGTGGTACTGCTGATGTTACCTTTTCTACAAAAGAAATATGTGGATGTTTGCTTTCTTTAGATAGGTTACATCTGTTGTGTTAAAGCTTACGAAAAAGATTATAAACACCTAATCTCTTTTGTAAAACAAATCCTTCTGTATTTGTCAACAAATGGTAGAGTAAAATGCAAAACCACTGCCCTCTTGTTACTGAAAATTAAGAGGATGGAGTTCTCCTCCGCTTGCTTTTTAATGTGCATTTCTTAAGATTCTTCATGATGCACTGTATATCTGTTGGCCAAAAGGCAGTCCAAGTGAAATTCTTCTCAGCTGTGACCTTCATTAGAGTGTAATATTTAAGAATCGAATAGATCTTTATATAAACATAAATGGAGAAACATTTTAATGCTAATCTCTTCTACTTTGGCCTGTAATTAGGTCTGAACTGAGATGTATGTTTTGGATTTATTTTCCCTGCCAAGGAAAGGATTTCTGGTGTTTAAGACAGACTGGCCAACAACATAGAAACGATTACACTTCATGGCCTGTGGTTGTTTTCTGTACTCACAAATGCACTGTCATTTAAATGTGAATAAGTGATACATTTCCAGACATATATTACATTCTCCAAATAATGTTGTAGCAGTTATGTTGTAGCGGTTGTGATTGTGTCAAAATGTACTCAATACCGTTTGATGGGAAGGACCTCTTGTATGTAATTTATAAAAGTCACAGGGTCACTTTTAATGGAAGATATAAACTGCTGGACTAATAGGAACTAACAAGAGCATTGAACTTGCTCTCTAGTGTATGTTTCCAAACAAGAGTTAACATGTTGTGCGATGTATTCTTTCAAATAGGATTTGGAAACATCTGTGAAAGAAAGGTTCAGGTGAAAGAATGATGTATTCAAGTTATGAATCAAGGCCTGTAATCAGACAAAATAGCTAAGTTCCTCAACCTGTATTTATGAGCAGTGTGAGATCTGGTTTGAGAAGGATCACGTAACTCCAGATCGATCTAATTAAATGTTCTTAGGTTTATTGCTGATAATTGCAAGGGATGGGCTACATACAGACGCAGTACCCAGTGAAAACAGGAACAGTATGGTAAGAAATGTGTCAGACCCAGAATAATAGATGATTTAATTAAAGTGGCCTGCCTTTTACTGAATGTCAGAACACTGGATTATCTGTAATGTATTTGTAAGGTTTATTGATTACTAATGTTCAACCTTCCATGGTTTAAAGCATCAATTTTTCTATATATACTTTAGTAAAACATTTCTAGGATACTACAGCTAGCTTACAGGTTAAGTGCAATTTTGCAGTCGTGCAAATGAAAGCACCCTTGGAGAATTCAGCTTTGACAGCGTATCTGTTGTGTTTTATTAAATGTGCACTCTCAGTGCCTGAGGTAAAGCTCTGTTGACTGTTATCTTCCGAGATTATGCCTTTCTGACTTCGCATTGTTGTTCACTGTGCAGTTTGAGCTATGGAGCTACGCATCCTGAAACAGAGCTTCTCCACAGACAGACCTATGCTGCTTCCCATCAGCTCCCTTCATATGCTGCTGCACATCATGCCACAGGTGAGAGAGGTCAAAGCAGTAGTCCCGCAAGGCCTTGATCCTCCAGGTTTCGGAAGACAACTTCAGTCACTATGGAATTTAAAATTTCAGAATTTAATGTCATGTTACATTTTTTAAACACTGCTAAAACCACGTTTAGTGTTCTGTGTACAGTTTTGGTCACCTTCCTACAAAAAAAAGGCCTTTGCTTCTCTGGAATCTGTTTATAGAAATGTGGCCAGGTATATTTCTTGGCCTAAAGGACTGAACTACACAGATGATAAAAAGTTGTTTTGTTCTAGTCTTGAACAAATTAAATAAGCAGGGCTGATTCAACTTTTCAGAACCCTCAAAAGTATTGACAAAGTCAAAATAATGAACTTAAGAATCCATGAAACATGAACCAGGGGACACAAGTGGAAACTGGAAAAGCATTTAAATATGAGAATAGGAGGCACTTATTATGCAAAAAGTTGTTAGCATTTAGAGCAAGCTTAACCTGCAGTGTTGCTGCATCTGCTACTCCGACTTCCTTCAGGAAATGACTGGAGGAGTTCCTCAGATCGTTTAGCCATTAGCAAGTAAGCAAGCAAAATTTCCACCCCTCACTTGTATCTCTCATGGTCTTATGCCTACACCTGCATGTTGTTGGGATTTGTTTTTTCCCCTAGGACTGTCGGGAATATTTGACACAGGTTTGCACACTGCTGGCAGTAACACTACTGAAACATCAGTCATGAATTTCCTCTCTGCTATCGAGTCCCGGAACCAACAGGCTGGACCAGCAGCAGCCGCCCTGCTCCCACAGTTCAGGACTCCATCCTGGCAGACAGGTACAGCTGGGACCTCCTGCATGTTGTCAGAGTGAAGTGTTTGGCTGGAACATCTCAGGTGTTCTGAGGGTTCTGCGGTCAGAGAGGAATTGCCAGGTGTTCCCTGAAAATGTTCCTGAGTTTCCTTAATTCCTTCAGTGCTGCCTTTGTGGCTCATTAATCGTGAACATAGGGACACGCATGATTGGCATACTTTAAGTGTCACGATCATTGATGTTTTTTTCTTTCCTCCGTTAGGCATGCATTCATCGGCGGCTACAGAGCTGTTTGTTACCGGAGCAATACCAGCTTCAGGAACGTTTCCCCCAACATCAGCTCTCTCTGCCTATCAGCATCCCAACACGTTCACCACAAGGAACTTTGCCACTACTCCATCTCTGACACTTCAGGATGCAGCTTTTAGCCCCTCGTCTAATGGCCTGTTGTCCCCCCACGATCCTTTGCTGCAGATCAAGTCAACCCAGGGCACTGTCCCGACTGCTTTGGCATTTGACCGCATTGGGAGCACTGTATTGAGTACCAGCCTCCCACCACAGTCCTCAACATATCGTTCAGCCCAAGAATCGGCCCCTCATCTTTTGCAACCTCAGTTCAGTTTGCTACCCTCGTCCTTGGGAGGAGCACAGCAGGCGACTCAACCTTACAGCACATCGGTCTTCACAGGTTCAGCCACTTCCATCGAAAGAGCACTTCAGCGGGAATGTAGTGTTATCAAGCACCATCAGAGGCCTTCTAGTACCCAGTCAGTTCAGGCACAGTTGTCCAGCACTCAGCATTCTTTGCAAGGTTACCTAACCAGTGGAAGCGAAGTCGCTTTCCAGGATCCGTCAAGGCAATCAGCCATGCCCTGCAGCCCAATCGGAGACACTACTCAGGTGAGCAATGGAGGACCACAGCAAAAGACATCTCAAGCCACACTGGAGCAAACTCAGGCATATCCATCATCCATCCCTTCCCCAGGATTTTCATCTGCATCCAACACAAAAGCAAAAGACTGTTCTACAAAGCACACCCAGCCCTCCTCAAAGACCTCTAAATCCCAAAGTGTATCTCCTGATGTTCAGCCTCAGAGTTACCCCTCCCCTGTGCAGAAACAGAGTACAGTAATAGCCAGCCAGCCACAGGTCTACACCTCTGCACAGCTGCCTAGCTTAATGTCTGTAAGCCAGTCGCAAAACTACGTGACTTCACAGGCCATGTCCAGTAGCGTCAGCCACTCACAGGTTTATTCTTCCAGTCAGTCAGAGAAGTTGCCTTCTTTATATAAAACTCTTACTTCTTTCTCTGGCCAATCAGAAAACCTGACTTCTGCGAGTCAGACGCTTAGTTACTCTTCCAGTCAGCAGCAGGTGTTGTCTACAGTTGGACATAATGAAGAATACGTGGTTCAGGCACAGGATCTGTGCTCGGTTAACCCATCTCAAAGCTATTCTTCCAGCCACTCTCAGGGTATGCCTACTGTGAGCTATTCTGCACAGTCCCAGGGTCTTTCGTCCGTTAGCCCCTCACAGAGCTATGCTTCAGGACAATCACTTACTCTGACCTCACAGTCCCTCTCCTTCTCTTCCACTCGTGCCCAAAATTTGCCAGCCTCGAGCCCTACCCAGAACTATATGCTAATGCATTCTTCGCCCAGCAGCCAGACAAAAAACGGATCACCGCCACAATCTCAGAAGTACCTGCCTCCAGTCCAGTCGCCTAGTTTTACATCCTCCTCCCATTCCCAGGCCTTACCGAACAACAGACCATCAGCTGACCTAAAGCCATCCTATGGTAAAAGAAAATCAGACTCAAATTTGTTTGTCCCCTCTAAGCAGGAAGAAGATGAATTTCCCATTCAGGACCTGCAGGCTTTGCAGCAGGCCTCTCTTGAGGCTTCAGCCCAGACACTTGCAGAAAGCGCAATAGGAGACCAAACTACACCATATATTGTCTCAAAGACAGATGACCGGTACAATTCACAGAGTGTAATCCGGAGTAATTCACGGCCTGAAGATCAGATGGTTGGCCTTACACTTCAGGAATCTAAAAAAGGAGATAGGATGACTTCAATGAGCCACCATGGGCAACATATTGTAGGTGCCAACAATCGAGTAAGTCAAGACATTAAGAAAAATTCAAATTTAACACAACCGGCACACATTACCATAAGTGCTGAAGATTTAAAGCAGCACTCATTGTTGCATAAGGTACCAGACTCCAGATCACAGAACCATCAGGCACAAGTTATCAGTGCTCAGCAACAACAACAGGGTCAGAATCATGCCACACGACAAGCCCAACACATACGTCTGCCAAGTGCTCAGGTGCTTCTGGAGCCCTCCCGAGATTTGCAGATGATTTTTCTCCAACAGTCTTTACTGCACTCGGGCATTGATCCTTCTAAGATATCATCCCAGATGCAGCAGATTCCAGCCCAATATCTACAGATGGATGATCAGATTATTAACTCCAATGGTGGGCCAAATCAGTCACACCAGATTCTTTCTCCCAGCTCAGAGGTCTTGAAGATGGATGTTACAGAGTCTTCAAAATCGCTACAGCAGCATTTGTCTCCAAAAGATAATTATAGCCAACCAAGTCAGCATGAATCTAAGCACCACTTTGCTCTCAGTTCCATCTGTTTTCCCGATTCAATGTTGCTGGCAGATGAGAGGAACATCCTTTCCAACGTGGACGATATTTTAGCTGCCACTGCTGCAGCATGTGGGGTTACTCCTCAGGATTTTGTCAAACCAAACTCCTCAGAAGGTGAAATCCCTTCGCTTGCAAGCCCAGCTGACTCAAAGACTCCTTTTCAGGTTGTCGAGGCAAGGCATGTTTCTCCCAGTTTCACCTCCCAGCATTCTGGTGTTGCCAACCCACAGAATATGAGCATGGCTCTAAATGGTGGGCAGTTAAATATGGGTATGCACTCAGTGTCAGCGGTGCAGCCCAAGGCTTCAGGCCTTGAGCACCAGGGGCTGCAAGATTCAAACATACAGCCTGGGTTGACCGCTCCATCAGCTAACTCTAGGCACGAGGTTGGCGATAGGAATGTGTCATCTGTACAAAAGTCAAGAGGCACGAACCACGAGTCAGAAGAGGAAAATGAGGATGTGCCCGATGATGAGGCTCTGAACCATAACGATCCTGACTTCATTCCCAGTGGCAGGAGCATAAGCGATGAAAGTGCTGCATCAGAAAATGAATTTAATTTAGCCAATGAGGAGTATGACCCTACTGGGCTCCTGAACAAGGCAAAATCACAGATGGAGCAAAGGGGCAAAGCTCAGGTACAGCCTCGAGGGCGAATGAACAGCAAGAATGATGAGACGATACTGGAGTTTTCTCCCGACGGGCTTCCAAAGAAAAAAAACAAGACTAAGGGGTCAGGGAAGCCGACCGCAGAGGATGAAAACGGCAACGCGAAGCCGATGAAACGAAGCGGCCAGGGCAAGCGACAGAACTCCAGGGGAAGCGACACCAATTCGCCTTCCACCTCCGACAGCTGCTATGACAGCTACCAGCACCAGGAGAGAATACGACAAAAAATTCGGGAGGTTGAGGAAAAGCAGCCAGAGGTCAAAACTGGATTCATAGGTTCATTTTTAGACTTTTTAAAATCGGGACCTAAGCAGCAGTTTTCGTCTCCTCCGATACGAATGCCCAATCGCACAAGAAAGCCACCTGTGGCTTCCATACGGCCCCCTTATCCTCTTCCCTTGCCTGTGAAGCCTCAGCCTCTAGCAACACCGTTGATTTCTCCAGAGCCTGATAGCATAAGTCCTTCCAAGAGACTTGATGATGAGCTCAAGAAGAACTTGGAAACACTGCCGTCGTTTTCCTCTGACGAAGATGACTCTGTTGGAAAGAACCAGGACCTTCAGAAGAGCATATCCTCTGCGCTTTCTGCATTGGATGAGCCCTCTGAGAAAAAGATCAAGTCAGGTAACTAAGACTAGATCCATCATTGGCCGAAATTAAGCAAGCAAAGGGGACTCCTTCAACTCTTTTAGTGGAATGCACTTCCATCCTCTTAATAGTTAGAAACTAAGTATTAAAATTGCTCCCATCATACAGATTTTAAAAATGTAATTTGTAGTGTATATTACTCTGGTGTGCATGGTAACTTGTTGTTCATTTGGATCTGAATAAAAATAACACTCTCTGTAAATGCTCACACACTTTTCTTATTGTAAATCGACAGAAGCTGCAGAGACGAATCTTCTAGGTGCTGTAATAAAGCAAGAACAATCTCCAAGTATGCCTTCCTCCGTCTTCAAGTCCCAGGAACCTCCAGCTGCCGCAACTGAATCGCCAACACAAGATGAGCTTCAGGACGTTCCCTCTGACCAGCTAGCGGTCAAACTGACATCGGTGGCTATTGAGGGCTTGACGGACGAAGATCAGTCAGACAGCGGAGGGGAGGGAATGTACAGGGAGCGAGATGAATTTGTTGTGAAGATTGAGGATATCGAATGCCTAAAGGTACTGTACATGCAGCTTGTGATTGCTGTAATGGCAACTGCTTTTCAGGGCGCTTTAAGAACTTAAAGCTGTCAGTGAATGGACGGCCATATTTCTGTCCCCCAGTGATTCCTGATCTGATTCATTTTTTGTATATGTTACTATATTTTTCACATGGCATAATTTTCCCCACAAGAAGAGATGTCTCTCACTAGGCAGTCTGAAAAAACTTGTGTATTTGTTTCAACATGAATTCCGGAAAGAGTTCTGTTGAATTATGCTCATTTTTGTGAGGAAGTCTGTGCCCCAAGAGAGACATGTCTTAAATATGCACTTCTTCGCCCAATTGCTTTCTACCACTTTTTCAGCAGACGTTTTTAAGCTTCATAGAAAAAAAGGAAATATGTAAGCAGAATGATGAGTGAGTTTGTGACTTAAAATCCCAGATGCGTATATATAGTTACAGCTTCGAGTGAAAGCTTACACATTGATTTTTGATTGATAGATCAGTTTTTGTGCTTTATTAAAAATAATTAAAAATTCGACATTAGTAGCAGGTTTTTGTTGACTGTTGGGTAACAGTTTTACTATCAGAAAAACAGTCTACTTTGCCCCCTTCAAAACAGATAATTTAGACGTTTTTTTAAACACGTGTCTTTCACTCTGATTACAATAATTTAATTTACAGGAATACTATCAAGTCCTTCATTAGGATTTATCTGAATTGGAAAAATCCTTTATTTCCTTGTTAAATGTTGTCAATTTGCATTAAACAGGAGATGTAAATCTTATTGTTTACTTGTCACCGCTTGCTGTGGGAGGGTTCAGGGAATTCTCTTCAGAATTAATCCAAACTCCTTGAAATGTATACATGTTTATGAATGAGTCAGTGTAGCAAGAAATAAGGAAATAAAACGTCTGCTAACACTTCTTCCCACGTAATCTGCTTTAATGTTGGTCAGACGTAGGCTTTCCACTCCCTGGGGAATTCCATGACCAGAAGTTTCGACGGAATCACTTGGATTCTCTGGAATCCATAAACATTTTTGAAAACTAAATTGTTTTGCAACTATATAACCTAAACAATGTTATATTAAAAAACACAATCTAATATATTAGTAATGCATAGTATTTTAACTGATTTGATTGCAGATAACAGACCCTGCATAAAGCCGAGTCCACAGAATTCCTCAGGGTGCCATTTTCCGTGTCCTCTTAAAATAGGGAGACTGTTGACCTTTTTCTTCTATCTAACAGATAACACTAAGAGCAGGAAGGGAGCCACCAGCCATTTGGAAGGTGCAAAAGGCGTTGCTGCAGAAATTTGTACCTGAACTGAGAGACGGAAACCGAGTTTTTTCAGCCACCAATAGTGTAAGTGTGGTGTGTTATCGGCACATCAGGAGCGAGTGAATTCTTTACAAATGTGTAACAGTTCATCATGGTAAAGATGATCCTGACTCTGAACCAAATGAAGAGCTCCCCATTCTCACGCTGCCTCGTTATTAAGATGTATTATATGTTGAGAATTTCAGAAGGCAGTTACCTAATTCTGGTTTTTTTCCCCTTTCCGCAGTATCTTGGGTACTTTGGAGATGCAAAAACCAAGTATAGGAGAGTGTACGTGAAGTTTATTGACACTGTGAATAAGAGAGAGTACGTCAGGGTCTGCAACAGAAAGCCAAGGTGCAAACCAATGCATTCAGTGAGGTATGAAAGTCAAAGAGAACATTGTGTCCGCCATGCTTGCCTGCTCTTATTTTAATCACCCATAGCTTGTAGCTGGAAGATGAAAGATGTAAGATTTGATGTCATTCACAACCCTGACAGGTGTTAAACCCCACCAGCCTTTGGTAATGCCCATGTGTCATTTAGGAGCAGGTGGGATTTTCAGTGGGTGGATTATCCTCAATCCTGAAATGGACTTTCGATTGGATATTTTAAATCCTCAAACTGCCAGCATTAACAAATCTGGCACATCCACTGTAAAACAAGCTGTTCTGTCCCTCCTGCCCCAAGTCTTTTTTTCTTTGTTTTAAATTAATCTAAAAGAATGATGCACCAGTGTCTCAGATTATATTGTTCTATCTTGGGTAATGAGCACACCTTTTTTCTTCCCTGCTGCTCTTCTCAGGGGCGGCCAGTCCAAATCGGTGCTCAGCAGCAGATCGGTTTCTGCCCCGGCCTCCGATCAAGCGGCCCCCAAGCCCACCTCGAGCAAAGGCTCCGCGGCCAAGCCCAAGGCAAAACAGCCGAAGGTCAAGGCGGAGCCGCCACCCAAAAAGCGGAAAAAATGGAAGGAGGAGTTTTCCTCATCCCCCTCCGAGTCTTCTCCTGAAGCCGTCAGCGAAGACGACGGTGAGTCGTCACAGTGCTGCTTCTCCCACCAGCTTCGCTCAGCTCCTCTCTTTTCTGTTTTTTTTGAGCGCTGAATCCTGAGGGATTCCGGGATCCTCTGGATTTTTCTTTTCTTCCTGCTTTAATAAAGAAATTCTTGTTAGTTTTTTTTGTCAAGTGTACGTGTCTTTTTTTTTGTGGTCTCTGTGATGAATATGGACTGCTCGATTCAGTAAGGCCTTTAATTCTGGAAGAAAAGAGTTCCCATTACACATTTTCTTAATTGTTAAAGTGAAAGGACTGTTGTGTCAGGGCATAAGTGCCAAGTAAAAGAGAATTTATCTAATCTTGAAGGCTCTGAATTTACTGCCTCTACCCAGCTGCTTTTAATGTTGGAAACAATGTCTCCTGATATTTGTTTTTCAGAGTTTACTCCTCCAGTTCCCTTCGCTACTCGTTTTTTGAACACCAGGACCATGAAAGAGACTTTCAAAAGCTATGTGGAGCTGTTAATCAGTGTCGCGCTGGACGCTGATATGATGGAAGCACTGGAAAAAGAGAGCGGTGAGCACCGATTATGAGAGAGCATGACATTTGTTTTAAGTTCTCAGACTTGGAAGGTTTATTCAAAACTAAATCTGCTTGTAATGTCCAAGATGTACAAAGAAAACTAATAACTTTTGGACTTGTAGTTTTGTAAGGAAAGTAATTTCTTTGGGTTAGAAATATTTAATGTATCTTAATTTTATGTTACCTTGCAAGTCCAGTTTGTGTGATGGGGAGAACATTAATGAATGACTTTGGATTAATAATGTCAAGTGTTTGGCAGAAAATACATCTCTGTGGAATGACATTGAACCAGTGGACATTTCCATAAAGTTACTTTCAGACTATCTGACTTATTTTTCTCTGAATGTTCTTCAGATGAACTGCTTCTTCCACACATGAAAAGAGTTGATGGTATGATCACTGATAACAGAAGGAGACTGCTTCCCAAACTTCGAGTTGGACAGCTGTTCAAGGTATTGAATTTTGAAATTCGGAAAACTCCGGAGTGGACTGGAGTTGAACATTCGTTTTCTGCCATTTCATAAGCCTTTAGCATACATTTATTCCAAATTAGAATGCCAAACATGGATAACTTTGTGCTCTTGTGCTGTTTCTCTTTCAGAATGCATTGGACAGCTTTCCAGAATTATCAGTAGTAACGGACATGAAAAAGGATGGAGAAACTTCTTCATTTAAAGTCCGATTAAGTGGGAAAGCTTACAACAAGAAAACTCTTAGGCCAACCAAAACCTCCAGCAAATTACCACTAGTAAGTCATGTACAGTTTACTAAAGTAAGTTATAAACACTTCATTTCAAGTTTATAAAATAACCTTATAGAAGCTTGGAAATATTTTCAGAACAATTTTCAGAAACTGAGAGTTAAATACAATTTCCTCTAATTCTTGTTTCCTGAAAACCAGATATATACTGGTAACATACCTTAGTTATATTATGTGTCCGTGAAATCCAAATGTTTTAGGAAAGCCTTTAGTTTTTATATAGCTTTCACAGGCTAACTTTTTTTCCAGAAACATCTACAATTCAACCAATGTGGAAGGGACTGCAAATGTCTGATTGTCACTAAACATAAAATGTATTTTAGGTCAGGTTGTAATTTAAAAGATAAAAGCTGTAAAAAGATTGCAAAAGGGCAAGAATTTCAACACGTGACACATTAAAAGCTACTAAAAGCTTTTCAAATCTATGCTGCACCGTGTAATGTTGTGACCAGCTTTTGTCTTGATATGCAAGAGAGAACAAAGGAAAAATAAAATTGACCACTAGGTGGTGTCTATGATAAGCAATGAAGCCCCTGTTTTTAATTTGTTTTCCTACCAGTGAAAATGACAAATTGCCCAAGCACCGCTTACTGTAATTTAGCGTTTAATTACACTAAATTATGTTTGTATTCTACACAATACTTGAGGGATGATTTTTATGTGTTTACAACTTAATTTCTTGGCCTTAATATTTTTTCCCTTAACATGCCAGCTTTTTCCTAGCCTAGGGAACAACAATTGCAAAAACAGTGCTCGCTTTGGAGTAGTTTTCACCACAGTGCATACAGAGCAGGATTCCGAAAGTAGTTTTTCTGAAGATCTTAGTAGGCACCAATAACCTCTCTATAAAATATTTCTTCAACCTGTTTTATAGGAATATACTGTGGACAAGGAAAAAACCCACTGGTTTTCATTATACCATTCACTCCAACATTACAAATATCACACGTACCTTATGTGTAAAGATGAGGTAAGTATAGTGTTCTTTTTCCTTGAGGTATTTGCCCAGAAGAAAAACTGGAAAGATTTTTTTTTATTCTTTTTAGACATCACTTCATATTCATATCAAAGGTTTTTTTCCTTGCCACTTTTATGCTATGTGGAATTGTAGGGAAAATCTGCTGCAAACACTGCTGTGCTTCAGTGTCTTTGTTTTCCCTGGAGGTAATTGGAATTTTAAACATTTTAGATTTTTGCATGTATTTTATGTTGATGTTTCTATTCTCTTTACAAAAGCATGGACACGTAACCCCAAAATGTCATATTTTCCATGTCCTTCTTGGATAAAATGATTTTCTAATTTATAGCATTTAGTCTATAAAAGTTCATGACAATTACAAACACTGGGTGTACTCTTGCAATGTTAGTGGATTTTTGTTAATTGCAGCAGTGATTATTAGCTTTAGGGATAAGGCTGTGAACATATACCTTTTTTTAAAAGGGTACAATTTTGCACATTCTGGAAAGGTATGTTCTGAGCAGTTGACCAGTGTATTTCTATCTTCCTTTTGCCTTTTTTGAAAGCGAGTCAAATCTATTGCACGTTTCTTTCCCCAGATTGCAGCGCTTCAGAAACAGAGCGAGGAGGATCTGGGGCAGGAGGAGACTGTACAGCTCTGTATGAAAAATGCTAGATGGGTAGAAAGTCTCTTTGAAAAGTTTGGTGAACTTCTGACACAAGTACAGCAGACCTGTTTATAGCAGGACGGGGGGGTGGGTGGAAGAGAACTTGGTTGTTCTTTCGAAGTCACGTTTTAAAATAAACACTTGTGAAGCACTAATGATGTACAATACAGATATAATGAAATGTAATGTTGGCATTCTGCAATGCCAGGCAAGCTCTTATAAGTGGGCATTTTCGCTTCAATAATGGATATGCTGCACATGGTGCTGAAGAACAGAGTTTGCCGTTGCTCTGTTTAATATGAGAAGTCATGTATTTTATGCTGGCCAACATTTTTGAAAAAATAAATTTTCTACTTTGTAATCCTTTTTCGGTAACATGCTTTTTTTGTAGGACATGTGTGACAGATCAAGTGGCAAAACAAGCCCTAGGTATGAACCGATTTACTAGCATAGGAATCAAAACACTTTAAATCAGAAAAGAAACGCTTTAATATTTTTTTGCCTCTAGACAGTCATTAAGAAATAATTATAAAATGGTGGGGGTAATTATATACAGTATAAATATATATTAAAACATCCATTTCTATAATGGAGCGCCAAATTTATATAGAATATTGTAAATTTTGTAAAGAGAGCCAGTGTGTCATTACATTCTTTTAAAGAAAGAAATTGACATAATATAGAAAACAACTTTTTTGCTTTAAAGACTCCTTTTATTATAACAATGGTTATAAGTCTGAACACGGAGTTGGTGCAATCCTAATACTGCTTTTTGTGACATATTTTATTGTAATGAAATGCAATGACCTTAACTATTTTCTCTGTTTGAATAAAAGCGAAAAGAATTTGCCTTTATACTGTTTTCTTTACAAATGTACATTTTATCTCACTAATAGTTGTATTTTTCACAGAAGAAAATATTGTGGTTGAATTTGTTTCATGTATCTTTGTAATACACTTTTCATGGATTCAAGAAAAAAATCCCTATACATTTATATGTTGATTACATATTGTATACTATATATCTTGAGGTAATCGCCTTTCTTTGTTAATACAAGTTTGCTTCAATGTTAACCAGAATATGCATACAGTATTTGACTAGTTTTGCTTTTCAAGTGTAGCTGTGTTACACACTGCAATTATTTTCTGATACATGAAAATAAATTTCCTACTAAACGAGGACACTGAGGTTGTGGTTGTTTGTCCAGATCCTCTCAGTAGTATTTGAAGGTATTGGACTTTGTCAGCTTCATCGCATTCTAGATGACTTATCCTGCTGGTCCCATGTGAGACAGGAGCCCTGTCTTGCGCTGTGGAGTGTGCCACACCTTGTGTAAGCCTGAGATCTTCCAGTTCAGTCACCACAGCCCTGCTCCATGTTGTTTTTCTTCTGCCCTGTTTACGTCACTCAGCTGGTGACCAGCCTAGAGAAACCTTTGGTGTTCGATCTTGGAACATTCTTAGTATGTTTTTGAGACCAGCGAGTCTTAATCTGAATGACAGTGCTTCTTGTCTCCAAGTCCAGAAATCCAGTCTTCTTGTACAGGTCCTCATTAGAAATTTCATTTAGCCAGTAGATGTTACAAGTCTTGCAACCATAATGGCAACCAATGGTCGCCAACCATTATGAGCAACTTTGGTTGACATGTTATGTCTTGGTGCAGCTCTCATTTGGAAAATTAGACATAGTTCTCATTCTGGTCTTAAGACTGCATGTTTTGACCTTCCAGCTGGTACAGAATCTGCCAAGAGCAACTTAAGCTTTGTTCAGTCTGGCTTTGATGTTCTTCTTGGCATTGTTGACATTACTAATAAAGCTACCAAAGAAGTTAGATTCCTCAACATACCCCTACCACTTCTGCTTCAATGGTAATTGGGGATGTTGTTGATTTATGCTCATGCTCATGTCTCATGTTTTCTTCTTTTTTGTGTGCAGACCAGTCTATTTTTCCTACAAGCCTATTAGGTCAGACTTATCCTGGAGATGGGTGTAGTTTGAAGAGATGATAGCAGAATCGGGAGCAAAATTAAGGACTTCTAAAAGTAAAGAGGTTGTGCTTCTGTGTTCCACCGGGACGGTCTCATGATTGCTGCATAACCCAACCAATGGTGAGAAGAAATAAAGGCGGGGGCATGAGATGCAGGCCTGCTGCAGTCCAGACATCACTTGAAACCAATCCAACATGGCTGATGTTTGTAGATTTGCGCATAGAGGCTGACAGTCTTACTTGGAATTCCGTAGATTTGGAGAATCATCCACCAGCTGTCACAGTGTACAGTCAAACTTCTTTCTGTAAATCTGATGTAGAAGTGTGAATTCCATTTCAGACTCCATGCTCTATAATGTTTCACTGTACGAGCAGCTAGCCTGTACATTCTCTGTCTGCTTAAAACCTGCTTGCTCTTTGCCTAATCTTGGAATTAGGGGTCCCAAAAGTGCTCTCGGGGAGATTGTTCCACAGATTTTGTCAGGGGTGGACAAGAGCATGACTCCTTCCCAGTGGTTGCTTCTCGCCCAGAATGCCAGAAAGAGAGCTTTCACACCGGTCTTCTGGAATTACGTCATTCACTATTAACGTGTATGGCATCTGTGATAGCACTTGCTTCCAAACTGCTCTTCTGCAGGGAGTGAATTCCAGCGACTTGGACGTGTTTTTCTAAAACAAAAAGTAATGCAAAAAGTCCAACCCTTAATTTAATTTCTCAGGTGGGACACTCACTATTTTATCACCTAACCACAAACAACCCATCGTATCGATCTTAGTTTAGAGAGCTGAATGAAAACATGCAGTGCTGCTGTAAATCTTTGAAATTAATCTCATTCCATCTTCCTCTTACACCGAAAACATTCCTTTTCCTTCTGATTTGTAATGAATTGTTTAATCCTAACATTTACTATGCATACCTGCTCATGTAAATCAGACATAGCTGCTCTTTTTCATTATTGCTGAAGAGAACGAGTATACAATTGTCAATGTAAACAACACAAAAAGGCGTACAGTACTGCAATAGGAGTGTATACAAAATACTGGAGACTGCTAAATTGATGCAATTTAAGATTGAGGTAGGTCACGGACTACTATGTTTTTGGCTATATGCATATCTGTAATAAAAGTACAAGAATTTAGCGGTTGTTTTCTAAACACATTTTAAATTTCTCTAATGTTTCGGGAATGTTGAAGCTGTTTCATTAATAAGATGCGCTTCTTAATATTTCGAATTCTATGGATTCCGATGTCTTATCCAGTAAGAAATGATGCATTTACTAATGGTTTACAATTGCAAACGAATAGTTAAACAAATATATTTTGGGCAACGTTTGTGGCGAAAAGACGAATTTCTAATGCAAGAAATTGTATAGGGCTAATAAAGTGATGTTATGTTATGTAAAACGTTTCGTGGGTTTTGTACGTTTATCAGTTTTTGGACGGGGTGAAGATAAAGTCTAAGAATCACTGTATTTTTGAAAAGCTAAAATCCTTACGGAAAACCTGTGCGTCTTGGCGACTCCAGCTTTATTTAGGAATAAACGCCACACGACTTTTCTGCGCGACTGCTGTATCGTGACTTTCGGTTCGGTTGCTGTGGCATCCGAATTCCGTTATCTGGTTTGAAGTAATACTTGTCGTTAAACAAACGACAAACGAGAGAAAGAGAGAAAGACATGAGTGAAAAAGCAGTACAATCTAGCGTTTCCCTGGAGATTTTAAGATCCTGGTGGGAGATCCCTGCAGTAGCCCATTATTGTCAGCTGTTTCGTGATGTTTTTGTTATCTCGGCTTTTGAAATCGAGGTACGCTGGTTTTATTAAATTTAGATCTTTTTATAACTCCTTCGACAGTCTGTTGATCTCGTAGTAGCTCAGCTTTTGTGAACAATTGGTGGAATTTCTACAAATTGTTTATTTTTGTGCACTTCTTAACCGTTTTGGTACAACATTTACTTAACGGAGAAAAATGACCAATATGTTTTGAGAGTAACTATTCATTATTCCCAGATTGTCCTTACAGTATTTGTTGTAAGTAACTGATAATTTTCGCATGTCACCTTTTAAAAAAAAACAGTGCACTTTACTATTTCTGACAGACATCCCCAAGCAAATGAGGTCTTGTTGTACAAGCAGTCTCATTAGGATGTTGCCCTGCCTAGAGCAACCCTGAAGATAAAATATTGTAATCCCACAACCTGAAAGCTAAACATTAAAATATATATATATTTACATTAATATCACACAATGTACTGCAGGTACTCGAGGAAGCTTTGCTGGCTGAAAACTGGGAGTTTTTAGAAGTGCTTCTATTGCATCTTCTCAAAGGGTGCTATCAGCGCCAGGATATATGGTAAATTACTGGTTTGATTTTTTATCATTATTTTTTATTAGAACCTTTTTTTTACCTTCCATGAAAGCAAAACCCCAGTGAAGGTCTATTTTTTCCTTTCCATTGCATCAGTAGCGAAAACTTCCACTCGTACCTGAAGGATATTGTGTGGTATCGCTGGGAGCTGGAAGATGGGCTGGTTAACCCGCTGCAGGAGAAAAGTTTCAGAGATCTCTCTGCAAAGTCTATCGTGCAGATACTGCTCAGGCTCTGTGTGTACCGAATGGACGCTCCTGATGTCACTGATCAATTAAAGGTAGGAAGTTACAATCTAATCAATTAAAGAAAAAACTTACAATCTAAGGATGAGAACCATTGCCTAAGAACCATTGGATCACCCACTGTGTTCCAGAGCTGAAATATCCTTTTATAAAAAAGATTTAATGGTGGCTTAAAATGAAAATTGTGTAGTACATGGGTATATTTTGTATACTTGGGCATTCTGGACACTTACCAGATTGTCTGTTGTATATTTATGGCCACAAACTCAGCAGCTTCCTTTATAGCCAATATGGAGGTCATCTCTAGGGGAAGTATCTTGGAGGGCCTTTGTCATTGTGCTTTGCAGGCATTTGCAGCAGACAGCTTGCGTGTCGACCCCGTTGGTGAAGACAGAAATGGCACCCTGTACTGGTACTTCTGTGAAACTAGACTGTACAAGGAAGAGCCTCCACTGAACAGAGTAAAGCAGAAAAGAAGGACAAGCCTAGCCGAGACAGTGAAGAAAAAAAAGGAATTTATGTAAAAGCACAATTTTCCTTAGAAGACATAGATTAAAGTCTGTGTAAATAAGAATATGTACAGTATATATTTTAAATCATTTTGCCAAAATGAATGATGCTATATTGTTAATGACAATATATTTTATAGAATGTATGTACCTGTATATACTATCGTCATATTCCTTAGAAATTTAGCTGCATCGGATGGTGATAACTTTTATTGTGTTAGATCATTTTTTTAATCAGTCCACTGTGACAGAACAGCAGTTTGTTGGCTGTTAGGTACAGAAACGTGGCTTTCATGAGTTATAACTAATCTCAATAAGTATCACAAAATACAAAAGACTGCTCGTGTTGTAAAGGATCAATTAAGATATTGACATTGGTGGAATGAAACTAAAATTTTAAATTGCAAATAATAAATAATGAGGATTCAGACTTGCTGTAGCATGTTGTTTTTGACGTCTTTACCACACCATACCTGAAATGCTGACATTGATTATACAGAAGCATTTTCTCACTAAGCCTCTTACTACTTTTTGTTTCACAAAGATTTCTTGTTGATATTTTTTTTTTTCAGGAAGTCAAGGAAATGCAAAGTGAAGACCTTAAGGCAAAAGGATAGAGCACAATATTCAAAAAAGAGCAAAAAGAAAAAAACGGGGTATTGTATTTCAAATACTGCTTTTACATTATGTAGAACACCATCAACGAGGACACCAAAAACATTATGCCATGCCAATTCTAACCATTGCACCATGTCAATTCTTACATTATTTTTTCTACTCTTCACTAGAGATTATGTAACTAGCATATTCGTATAAGCATTAGTGTGGTCAAGGAATCTTAAGTCTCTAAGTATTTGAAATAATCTAAGACGTTACCTGGATTTGTTAATCATAGTGCTGCTTTATTCTAGAAGTAGGCTGAAGAAAAACGAAGACTGCCACAGACTTGAAGGGGGAGAAAATGAGAGATTTCCTGAGATCAGTAATAAGAGTAAGAAGTTCACATTTTAAGAATAACCATCAAATTATAATGTAGCGTTATTTCTTTTCAGTTCTTAACCTGACTTGTAGTGTCTCTTTTAATAGTGTATTTTTTTCCAGCCACATTCACTTTGTGTTTTGGATTATGTTCCTTTTTTATTTCGTAATTATTAGGAATGTTGACCCTGTGTGCACAATCTGAGTATATGGGCACTTGGTCCCTTGTGTGTGAACGTTTGGAAGACTGGAAGGATTTGGCCGCAACATTCAGGGGAAGCGCGTATCGGAGAGAGCAAGAACTCTACAAAACCTTCGTTCAGACTCTGATTCCTCAAATTGGACACTTAAGCACTCAGAAGGTAAGAAGGGCCTTTTGTGTCCAACAATAAACAGTGATGTCATGTCACCCAGCACCTGAATAAAGAGTTGCAGAGTAATCCAATGAGTAAAGGCACTTTCTTAGAGTCAAGAGTTAAGTCCACACATTTGCCAGAAAAGTCTGGGAATCCAGAAGCTAGAGCACACAGCTGGCCCATCTTCATCAAGGTCCATTGAGTTTGAGTAAATGATGGATAAGATAGAACTCTTGTCATCAAATCCTGTAGTGTGCTGTTGAGCTAGCACTGCAGTGTGTTGTCTGGACATTTTGGAGGAGAGTATTCGCAGTCCTCATACCCTTTCTGTTGCTGGGAAAGGTCTTAGTTCTCAATTGGCATGAACAGTGAATTGGATTTTGTGTTCCCATGCATGTACAATGTGATGTGGTTTGCTCTTAACAAACACTGGAGTGTACCATCATTCATAGTATACCTTTGAGTCTCTCATTTTCTTAATTACATTGTGTTACACCTAGAAAAAGAAAGAGGTACTCACCCAACCAAGAAGAATGTCTGAGTGCATTCAGAAAAAGCAGGAGACACATGTAGGTGGATTAATGATTGATTACATTGCTGGCTGACATTGCTTTCTTTAAAGTACAGTACTTATTTACTTTACTACTGTAGTTTCATTCAGTTTCAGTTGTAAACTATTTAGGCAGAAATCAGGAGTCATTTATTTCCTATCAGTGTCATAAACAGACTCAATTAGGTTAGACAAGCATGGATATTTACTTAATTTGAGACATTTTCCATTTTTGTTTTATTTTGAGAAATTGTAAAGATAAATGTTTGAAGTCTGGTGTTTTTCAGGAAAATAATGTTCTGCTTTTAAAAACAAAAGATGGTGGAAGAGGCAGCCGTGAATGTATTACCAAAGAGGAAAGTGCAGGACCTTTAAAGCAGAGAGAAAATCCAACAGGAAAAGGTAAACCTCAATGTACAAACCTAGTACCTGAATTATATGTATTTGACACAGTTCGCATTTTGCATCTGTCACTGACAGGGAAACTGAAAAAATATCAGAAACAGACTTCTGGTGTATGCAAAGAGCCTTCTTCTGAGAAGAGAAAAAAAGAAGAGCACCTGGATCTCCACAGGTAAAACATGATCTACTCTGATAGGCAACCATAAAGGATCCAAATACAAAAAGCTGGATGGAAACAAAACATTTCTTTCTGTGCATCCTTTCAAAGATAGTCAAAAGTGATATTCACACAAATCCTGCCAGCTCTCTTGATTGTTGGAAAGACTGCAGCATACAAGGGGATTTTCTAATGTCTTATGGTGTGAACATTCCATAAACTAGAAGATCACTAGCATTGATATTAATTACACACTCCTCAGCAAGATGCTACAACACCCCACTTACTTAGTAAATATATATTTAAGTCACCTTAAATAAAGGCTGAGCTGGAAGCTGCCAAAGATGGAGTTTATCACATATTCGCTGAGCAGCAAAAACAGAACACTTACATAAGATATGAATCCCCTTTAATAATATCATAATGTAGGACTTCATCAGCTGAAATATACAATTTTCTTAGAATCAGATACAATATTGATCTCATGCCCTTATCATCCTTTTTTAATTATAGCATATAGTTTGAATAATCAGAAGCCTTAAATATAAGAAAGGACTTGTATGTTATATGTATGTATACATTTTTATATTTGCTCCTCACTAGTGCATTCCGTACCTGTGTGTCTTACTTCTAAAATTAGAACAAGCAGTTACATTTAAGGTTTAATTTACTCATATGCTGTTACTTTTCCCTTTTTTAAAATATTGATCTTTTGAAACATCTGCTATGATGCCATAATTGTCTTCTTTTTTTACATTTAAATGTTTATTTTTCAGTGATTATTCAGACAATGAGGAATACATGTCCATGTTCAAAGGTAAGTGTTTTCTTCTTTCTATATTGTACTGGGTCACTCCCCAAGGAGAGTAAGTAAATATATGCTGGAAATTAATAGATTGCTTTAGAAATGTTTAACTATAAAGTTATAACACAGATTGGATTAATAATAAAATCTCCTATTAGCCATGATAGCCATTGTAATGTTCTATTTATACACCAGACCTCAATTAATGATGTAATTCCTGATTGTAGTAGAGTACAGTAATGGTGGGCTAAACTCACAGTTGAAATCATAGTGAGGGCTCTCTCTTGGGCATCATGAGGAAATTGAAAATATGTAAATCCTAACGTCTGGTTTTAGCAATATATTTGATATTTTAGGTTTTCAATAACCAAGTCTATATTCTTTGCAATCTAGTTCTGGAAACAGTTAAGAACCATGCGGACTCATGGCCATTTACAGATCCTGTAAAGGAAGATGTACCTGGCTACCACAAAAATATTAAGGTAACAGTGATTCATTTGCCAGCCATTCATGGTAGGTTCATTTTCTTAACTTTAACCTTTTTTAAAGGCTGCAATTTAGGCATAGTAAATTTAAAGACAGAAAGTGAATCTGTGAATTATCCATATTTTATCATACTTTAATATCCATATTTTATCATTTCATACTTTTTTATTGACACGTGGTGTGGTGATTAGCACTGGTCCTTAATACCTCATGGGTGCATGGGTTTTCACTAGCTACTTTGGTTTCCTTCTATATTCCAAAAATAAGTCTGGCCTGCCAGGTTGACTGCTGTCTCTTAATTGTCCCTGTGTGCTTGTCTGCCCTGCAATGGACTGGCTTCCCAGTCAGAGTGTGACCCCATCCAGCACCCTGGTTGCTTTAAGTTTGCCACAACCTTTGCCAGAAATAACTGGCTTCAGATGGATGGATATGTTTTTCATTTTTTGTTAGTTTTGGTTCAGATTAGTTCGTATTTTCTGAAACAGGCTCCGATGGACCTTCTGACCATTGAGGATAATCTCATTCATAAGCGATACAAGACCACAGATGACTTTGTAGCACATTTTGGCCTGATTTTTAAAGAGGATGAGCTGTATCCTGGGAAAAGCGGTATGCGTTTTACAGATGATACAGTACATATATAGCAGCCAGCTTTGAGGTGCCAAACCCAATGTCTTGATTATCCTCCTCCTCTCTAAGAGTACACCCTGATGGCATCTTCTGTGAAACAGTGCTTCCACAATGCCATGCGGAAGTATTTCCCTGAGGAGCAATCAGACAGCGACGAAGAGGAGTTCACAATGGACACGATCAAAGGCAAACCAGAGAAGAGAAAGAGGCGCTCAACACCAAAGAAGGCTGCAGAAAGGAATGTGTTAAAATTGCTAGATGAAGAAGTCAATCCCAGGAGATATCACAAAAAAATATACAAAAAGGATGTTGCAGAGCTTTGTGTCCAAAGACAGGCAAGGAGTCATTCTGTTTTATGAGTTACTGCTGATAATGTCTTCCACAGGGTGTATTTTACGGGGTATCTGACCATGTTCTGCTGTTGCGCCTCTGTGCTATAAAAAAAGAAAATTACTGAAACAATTTGTGTGCTTTGAGAAATAAGATAAATACTTTTTAATTCATAACTTCATGAGCAAATATGTAACAAGAATTAAATATTTATCCTATTATATTTAAGGCATAGTATTCTACCATTTTTTAATGGTAAATATAGAGACTCTTTTATTCATAAAGAGGTCTGGCTCTTAAGAGATTTGCACATTTTGTGAACATGCAAACAATGCAGTGGAAAAAAAACATCGATCCTTCATCTGGGGAGCCCAGCTCAAAAACCAGGCTTTGTATCACAGCAGATATTTTGAAGTAAAAGGGATTTGTCTCCTAAAATACTGATTAGAGTAATTCTTGTTTTTTTTCTTTTTTTATAGATCCAAGCAGCTGCGCCAACAGCATACCAATTTATTCACACAACAAAGCAACCCAGCTTAATTGCACCATCTCCCTGCTATGTTAACAGACCACAGAATGTGACAATGTTGCCACATTCTCCAATGATGCCTTTACTACAAACTCCCAGTCAAGAGTCATTGAGTCAAGCACCATTTCCAACTTCAAAGGTCTTTTACCCCAATAACCTCTTTCCAGTGCAGTGGCAGAGCTCCATCTCTGGATCTGTTCTACCATATGCTTGGGCAGTGACTTATTTTATTCCAGCCTTCCCACAACCTGCACCATACCTGGGAACACTGGAACGGGCAAATCAAGAAGGAGAAAAACAGCACAAAACAACTCCTGTTGTCTTTGAATTCATACCACAGCTTCCCAATATCTTACAAAAGATGGAGATGCCTTATTCATGTGACGTTGTACCATGTAAGACCTCTCCAACACATGAACCCACTTTGGAAGGTATATCAATTTGTAATGGTATGTGGAAAGTATGTTGTGTCTAAATTTAATAAAGCGTAGGAGGAAGATTTTAAAAAGAAACTTGACAAAACAAATAGTTTGGACTGGGCAAAAAATTCAAGAAAGTATGTACACAATTGGAAAGGTGGCTGACTGTACTTTCCATTTTTTTGCCTGCAAGGGATTTTAAATTACTTTTTTTGCAAAAAATACTTTTTGGACGTTTCTGAGGTGTAATAGTTTTTGGTTATTTTCTATTTGAATGGCTGTAATGTGTTCTTTTTGTTGAAATTGCTAATCTGCCTTTCCAGTGGAGCCTTATTTCACATGCTTCAATTTTACAGGAAATGCCACAATGGGAGTCGGCAAACATAATGTCACAGAGTAGCAACAGATAAGAAAAGTGCCCCCTAGTGATATGAGCTGTCTACACAGAGCCTCGCAGTCAGCAGGTGCCGCAGATACAGCAACTAGTGAAGATTATAGTGAAAGCAGCTCTTGAATTCAGTGTCACTGAACAAGAAGACTTGACTTCCTCTCTGAAGATGAAAAAAAACCGAAGATAGCAATCTGCCTGGGCAAAAGAGCAATGAAGACCAAACTGCTGAAGAAGCCCAGAGGAAAAAGCATAGAAATCTCTCTATGAATGCTGGGAAAAGTCAGCAACCCTCAAATGACACAGAAAGGCAAAATGTTAGAACTAGAGTTACTGAAATGCTCATCTTAATTCTGGTGTTAAGGAAGAAGATGATTTAAGTATGTTAGTAAATAGCATGTTAGTCAAAACATGAAATAAATGGCTCATAATTTAAGGTAATTGGCTTGAATGGTTCTTTCTAAAACAAAGTTTTTGGAGCCTCTTTAGTGACTCAACTGGTAAAGAATCACTTGCCTGAGTGCAGACTGAGCTCTGTGATCCAGGTGATGCAGGTCCGAGCCTGGGTCATGTCACTGACTATGACTGGGATTATTGCCCAAGTGGCAATGTGCAATGGGCTGGGTGTCACTGAGAGCTCTCGTCAGACTCCTCCAGGCTCTCCTCTGGTCAGTACAGGACCTTCTGCATGGGGCTGTGCTACCTTGGACATGTTAAGAGACAAGAAACTCGAAA